TGATGCCTTTGAGCTGTGGTGCTGGAGAAGAGTGTTGAATATACCATGGACTGCTAGGAGAACAAACAGGTTTGTCCTGGAGAGGGTGAAGCCAGACTGCTCCTTGGAGTGAAGGATTCTGAAGCTTCATCTGATATACTTTGGGCATGTTGCTGGGAGGGACTGGTCCTTGGAGAGGGACATCATGTTTGGGAGAGTGGAGGGATGGCGCAGGAGAGGAAGACCCTTGATGAGATGTATCGATTCTGTGAGTGGAGTGGTGGGAATGAATGTGTTTGAGACAGCGAGTTTGGCACAGGATAGAACGGTGTTTAGGGCTCTTGTACACAGGGTTGCTATGAGTCACAAATGACTCGATGGCACATAACAACAACAACAACTTTTGCTATCTAGCTATCTTGTTACCTGCTTATTTGGTGTAACATTGTAAATAATTTTTTTACATTCTTTTTTCCCCTTAAACTAAGATTTGGAATCTGAAGGATATGTTATATAGTTGATGAACTGACTCCCAGCTGACCCTTCAGCAGTTTTTCAGAAGCAGTAAGTCACACGGGAGGAGACTGTCCATCTTTGTCCCACAGAGTAGCTCGTGGATTCAAACCACCTACCTCTGGTTTAGCAGCGCAGCTCCTTACCCCTGTGGCCTCCAGAGCTCCCTGTTTTTACAGTACATGCTCCGTGTCAGTCCAGACGGTGACAGTTCACACCTCACATGCTCAGTAGCCACATGGGGCTCAGGGTTGCTATCTTGGAGAGTTCTAGCACTTGAGAGCAAACCAAGCTGGTCACATTCTGGCATCATCACTTTTCTACAAGCTCCTGGCTGGTTCTGAGGTGCAGCTGGCACTGAGAACAACTGCTCTGGCAGAGTGTCCCTGAGGAAGTGGGACAGTGACCTTGAGAGGAGAAGGCTACTCTGAGTCTTGAGAGACAGGGTCCTAAAAGGCTGTGGGAGGCACATGATTGATGCCACACCACTGGGCACGTGTGTGTGACCAGGGCTGGTACAGGGCCATGGGAAGGTGGGGACTTCCACACCTCCCCCACTACCTATGAGGGATGCCATCCTGCAGGGAAAAAAACCCACGAATGATAGCATCCACGGTGAGCTTGGTAAGGGACCCACTCCTGGAATAGCGAGAGGTAGTGAGACTTTGAAATCAAGCCTGAGTTCAAATGTCAACACTAACCTTGACCTGATGTGTGACCTTGGGCAAGTGTCTTAACTTCTCCAGATCTCAGTGTTCTTCACTGGGACAAGGGATTCAAAGCAAGGGCCCTCTTCCACTGCAGCTCTGTCCTGTGAAGCTACCAAGGAGTACAGCCCGTGTGTGTCCACATGTGGACAAACCTGCCAGGACCTGGTTGGCCCTGGGGCCTGTGGTGTGGATGGTGGCGGCCACCTTGGCGGAGACGAGTGTGTGGAGGGCTGTGCCTGCCCCCCGGACACTTTTCTGGATACCCAGGTTGACCTCTGTGTCCCCAGGTGAGTGCCAGCTGACTGCTCTGTCCAAGAGAGGTCAGGCCGGGGGTCAGCACGGTATACACAGCTGCAGCCTGACCGGGCTTTTCTTGTCCCTACTTCATTTTGCTGTTTGTTACAGGCCCGACCATGGTGGGTAAAGGGGTGGGTGAGTGGGCAGCTGGGCTCCTCTGGACCTCCCTCTCGGGCCTCTGCCTTCAGCTCTGGCTCACCAGACCACTCCACCCCACCTCCTTCACAAGACAAAAAACTCCAGTGCACAAAAAGGTCTCTCTCCTCTCTCTTCCTCTTTTCTCCTTTCCCTGCCTTCCCTTTCCACAAGCATTCACTGACCTCCTGCTCTGAGCCAGACATTTCTGTACCCTGGGAATTCAGCAGTGAACAGCACAGAGTCCTGCCCTGTGGAGGGCACTTTCTAGTGTGGCAGATAGATAATGATAAGAATGTGCCTAATGTGGTAACAAAAATAAAGCAGAGTGAGAACAGGGAGTCCTAGGGGAGGAAGTGAGGAGAGGAGCACAAGGAAGGATTTACGTTGAGGTGATGTTTGAGCAGAGACCTGAAGGAAGTGAAAGAGTGTTCTGTGTGGAGGAAGTGACCCTTGACCGTTGTGGACTTAGTGTGGCTTAAGGACAATGTGCAAAGAGGAGAGTGGCCAGTGGTGATGTACACGAACCTCATGGCTGACTGACAAGCCTGTAGGCCCCTCTAGGACTCTGCTTATGGATCTATAATATGGATAACCTTTAACTGGTGGTTTTCAATTAATGGGGGAAGTAGAAGGCCTCACATGGAGTTTATTGAAATCACTCAAAGACCTTTTCAAGTCAAACAATCCTTCTTAGAGCTCTAGATGTCCACCCTACTCACCCTCTGACTTGGATAATTGCTGGCAAAGGAAGTGCCCAATATAATGGGAGCAGTTTCTGTCCAGGGCAGTGGAAGAAGATAGATAAGAAGCAGTGGGGATGAATTGTCTGGAGGCCTGGAGGTGTAGTGTATAAGGTTGTTGTTTACCACTGGGTTGGAGCTGACTCATCAGCAGATTTTCAGAGGCAGTGGGGGGTTATAGCCCATCTCATCCCCTTGGAGCAGCCTTTGGGATGGCAGCACAATTCCTTCCACTAAGCTACCGAGGCTGCTAACGGAAAGGTCATGGGTTAGAATCCAGCAGCCTTGCTGTGGGAAAAGATGGGCAGTCTTCTCTCCTAAGGAAGATTTACAGCCTCGGACATTCAGTGGAGAGTTGCCAGGAGTTGAACCTGACTCAACCATGATGGGTTTGGGGATGAGGCCTGATGTCCTGCTCTATCACAAGGCCTCCTCGAAACTGAAACTCATTGCTCCAGACTTGGAACTGGCTCATAGCTGACCCTGCAGTGGAATTTTGGAAGCTGTAAATAACCTGGGAAGAGATTTCCCGTCTTTCTCCCACAGAGCTGCTGGTGGGTTCCAACTGCCAGAGAGGCACCACCTTTGGGGTTAGCAGTGCAACCCCCAACTACTTACACCACCAGAGCTCTCTGAGGAGAAAAGAAATATATTTTTGCTCTGAGATGACCTACCAATGTCAGGAGACTCTCTGTAGAGGAATGTGGGATTCTGGTGAGGAATAAATAAGATAATGCATGTGCAGGGCCTGGCCTGGTGTCCATGGTGTCAGCAGTCAATGACTCAGAGGAAACACTGGGTTCCACTTTGTTCTACAGGCTTGAAATGGGTCAGAATCAGCTATACATTTTCTACATTGATAGGGCTTCATTAATACAGCAAAATCCTTTTTCCCAAATGGGATTGTATCTACAGAGATAGCAGTCAGGATCCAGATAACACATTTTGGGGGGACTCAATTCAATCCTAACAGCCTCTGAATCTGAGGCCCCACCCTGACCTTTGTCTTTAGTGTCAGGTTGGGTTTCTTGCTCCCTGTAAACGTGCCTCATGTTACAGTAGGTGCCATGACACCTCTGTCATGTCCTTATGCCCCTGGGCAGTTGCTGCCCCATCTCTGAAACTTGTTCTCCTTTCTCTACTCCTTGTTTTTGTAGGAACCAGTGCTCCTGCCACTTTCAAGGAGTGGACTATCCCCCTGGAGACAGTGACATCCCATCCCTGGGCCACTGGTGAGCTCTCTAGGTAGCAGCCTGGCTGGCTTCTTAGTAAATGGAAGTTACTGATGGGAAAAATCCACAACTGAGCAGGACTTTCCTGTGGAGTGACACCCACCCTCACCTCTGCTCAAGGGGCCAGGGACAGTGAACAAGGCCGTCTGTGTGAACTATGCAGTGAACTTAGCGCAGAGACGCAGGTTCTCCAGGTGTGCAGTGACTGTGTGTTGTGTGATGGGGGAACGGGGACTAACCCCAGTGCGTCTCTCTTTGCAGCCACTGCAAAGATGGAATCATGAGCTGTGATAGCAGAGCCCCAGGTAAGGGTGTTGAAAAGGGTGGGGTTCTCTGGGTATCGAGATTAGAGAGGGGAGCTGGAGCACAGATCAGGAAAGGGTATAGGTCTTATCCCATATCAACTTCTGTGTTTCTTGCCCTCTTGGGAAAGGTTATGACTAGGAGGGTGATGTCATCCTCAAACCTTGTCCCAGCCTCAGCCTGCTGCAGTGCTGGACCCTCCTGTTCCCTAGGGTTCTAGCTTTCTCAGTGAATCCACCTGGGCTGGCTGGGGTGTCTGAACAATTCCTTGGTTTTCTTGGGTCTTGTATTTCTTTGCTCCAGGCGGTCTAGAATCTGTTGTTGATTCTCTGCAAGCCCTGTGCAGGACAGAGAAAGTCACCTTTGTGACTTCCTATTTTGCTCCATTTCATGCCAACTTGAACAGGAAACACAACTTGTTTTATCAATTCCCTTTAAAAAAGTCACTAATGTAAGGTATGAGCTTACACAGTGGACATTTCTAAAGGCTCAAGAAGGGGGGGGCTTATGCCATGGAATTATAGGTAATTGGAGATCATCTCTTCCTGTTGTTAATAAAACTCCTCTCACCACCCTGCCAGGCCATTTCTTTTTGGCTTTCTCTTGTTTCTTGCCCACTTTATTGAGCATTTTGAAAGCAGAAGTGCCTTTTCCCTGTGATATGGGGAAATGAGGCATCATAATACATGGCAGATTTGTAGAATAAGCTAATGCACATGCAGGGTGTGGAGCAGTTCCTGGTACTGAGGACACATTAGTGACTGGTATTGGGGTGGTCATACATGGTAGCGCACATCCCTCACTGCCTGTGATGTGTACCTGGGAACTCAAGAAATGTCTTTGGAACACCTAGTTCCTGGGGCATAAAGGACACATTTCTCTGAGTTTCAGATGCTAGGCCCCGGGTCTCCCTGACCAGCCCTGCAGCCCAGGTGCTCACCCTCAGGCTTGGGTGCTCTGTGCATCCTACTGGAGGTCCAAGTCCCTTACAGCGCCTGTGACCTCTTCTCTCTCAGCTGCTGCCTGCCCAGTGGGCCAGGTGTTTGTGAACTGCAGTGAGCTTCTCACAGACCCAGAGCTGAGCAGGGAGAGGACGTGTGAGCAGCAGCTGCTGAACCTCAGCGTGCCAGCCCGTGGACCCTGCCTCTCGGGCTGCGCCTGCCCCCAGGGGTACGTACCTGTGTTGACTGGCTTTCCCATTCCTGAGGGTGAGCAGAACCAGGGACCCCAGGGAGAATCAGCGAACACCTGACAGCCCCGGAGGGAGGCAGTCAGAGCTGGACACAACGATCAGTGAGGACTGTAGCAAAGAAAAGAAGGGTCAATATTTTGGGGTCCTCCCTGGGTCTGCTTCTTACCAGCTACCTGCTTATAGACACAGAAGGAGCCTCACCTCTTGGAGGCTCAGTTTTCTCACCTATACAATGAGGAGAATACCTAGAAGTACCTAGAAGACCCTCGACCAGGTGGGTTAACGTAGTGAACTACGGCAACAGGCTTGCATGTGCCAGAAATTGTGAGGATAGCATAAGCTAGGACAGGGTTCAAATCATAGTGTTGCTATGAGTCATAATTGACTTGATGGCACCTAAGAACAACCACTTCAAAAGATTGTTCCTGATGTACCGAGCACTAATTGAAGTACTGAAATAAAAACACTGAGGGATGTCTGTACACTGAGAGGCCAGTGAACTGAAAACCAAGAGAGAGAGGAGATTCTTGTTTACTCTCTAAGCCAGTGTCCCTGTGATGTTATTACCAGAGCCTCTTGGTTGCCATGCTTCTCTCCAGTGTGTGTATCTAAGAATCTGTGGGTGCTGTGTGTTGCTTCACCAGACGGTGGGGCCACTGCAGGGGTTGGAGAGTGTCAGCTGCTTCCAATTACTGTACTTATAGATGCTGAGTCAGTGGCCCTGAGGCTAGCAAGCAGTGAAGCATGGGGTGGGGGGGGCACATAGCCTGGAGCCTGAAGCCTGAATTCTGGTTCTACTGTCTACTGTGCATAGCTGTTAGCTTCCCTGAGCCTCAGTTCCCTCATCTGTAAAATGGGGCAGAGGAAGCATTCCATGTGAGCAGACGGCGTTGTCCTCCCTCATCCTGATCTCATGCATTTACACATGCGCTTCTGAGGGAGATGGGAGTGAGGTGATCCCTAATAGGTAAGGGGGGTTATTCTGCAGATTGAGGGCATCTTGGAGGCAGGAGCCACAGCTCTGAGTCTTTGGATGCTTTTCCTGATGATGTCAGGGATGCAGCTGGGTCTGAGAAATGAATATGAGGACAAGAAGGCCAATGTCAGAGCAGTGAATGGTGGCCATCAAGAGAGACCCCTTAGCAAGTGGGTAACGACAGGACATGGAGCTGAAAGGGGGAGCCCACCGGTCCCTGGTGCCTAGTGTGATTATAGAGAGAATTATAGAGAGGCTAGGGACTGATATTCATTGTGTATCTACTAGGAGTTAGGCAGTATGTCTGGGTCTATAACTAAATTCTCATAATGACCTTCGGGAAAAGGTATCATAATCCTTCTTTCGTGTGTGAGAAAAGCAGAGCTTAGAAAGGTTATTGCTTGAGGTAAAACACAGTAGATTAAATACACTTTTTTCTCTGCTTCCTCCCACAACCACAATGAAACATTGATATCACAGTAAAAAAAGCTATGAAACTATAGCATCAAAGAGAACAAGAGAGGATGCGGGTGGCAAGAGCAGGTCTAAAGGAGCATGAGGCCATGTCACTGATCACTGCAGAGCAGAGCGACAGAGGACACTTGCAGAAGGGAAGACCAGGGAGAAAGAGTGTGTTGAGGTTCTCAGTGCTTCAGAAGGGACAAGGAGAGAAGGAGGGAAGGGGACAGGAGGGTGAGTTGCAAGTCTGTGTACCAAACTAACCCCCCACTGCCATCTAGTCCCAACTGACAAATAGCAAGTCTATAGGCTACAGTAGAACTGCTATATATGGTTTCCAAGACTAACGTATCTATGGGGTAGACGGACACATTCTCCCATGGAGTGGAGGGTGAGTTTGAACCATTGACTTTTCACTTAGCATATTATTGCTGTTACTGTTGGTCCACCAGGGTTCCTTCAAATCTGTATAAGGAGCAGATAACACCCCCCAGTTCACTTGACACCTGAGTCAGATCCCACCTGGCCCACCCCCCACATCTTTCAAGAGAAAGGGGGTATGTGTCTGTAGAAATTCATTCGGAGCCGCTATGCTCTTGGGTACAGAAGAGGGGTGAGGTGCATACTTAGAACAGGGAGATAAATAAGAGCCTGCTGAGACCCCATCACTCCTCCTAACATTGCTCCTCCGGGTGGTGGTCCCCCTAGGCTTGAGGTAAAAGTATTCTCCTCTTGAAAATGGCATTGGCCAAGAGAGAAAAAGCTCCAGAAAGTGCCATTTAGGTGTTCCTTAACACACTGGTGAGTTCTCCCTTATACACAGAACCTCCAGTGACCTTGGTGTTATCTCACTTCTGTTTTCTTTTTTTAAAAAATAAACTATCATACATTCCAATAATGCAATACTACACAGCACATAGGAGCAATGATTTTGTAAATTACTACCTAACTTGGGAAGGACTGGAGAGCATTATGCTGAGTGAACTAACTCAGTCCTGTAAGGGCGAATATTGTATAAGACCATTATTTTAGAATGAATATGAGTTTCCCAAGGGGGAGCAGGGGACTGAGGATGGGCGGGTGTGTGTGTTAAGTTTATTATAAGGTCACACAATTTGATGGGTGTAGGGAGGGGAGAGTGATGAAATGGGAAAGATCTGGTGTCAAAACCAATGTATATGAACTTTGTAAATAAACCAGTATTTTTTTAAGAGTATCACTTATTACAGTAAAATGCATAGATTCCAAGTATACAGTTTGTTAAGCTTCGGAAAGCTTACATAATCTTGTATCTCTTTTAACAAAAGAGAATCTTTATTTCCCTTCATATAGATCTATCCTTCCCTTTACCAGGCCCTCCTGCTCCCTGAACCCCCCCTAGGTACCCACTCTTTCTAGTCCTGTCTGCACAGGTAAGTGTTGTCCGCAGAACTCCACTGTAATGCTTGCAGTCCTCTTGCTCTTAGATTACGCTTAGATTACTTCGAAGGAAAATGTTGTTTTAGGTGCCATTAAGTTATAAGTACAACTCATAGCAACCCTATAAACAAGGATTCGAACCCTGCCCTATCCTGCACAATCCTCGTGATCTCTGAGCCCACTGTTAAAATCACTGTCTCAATCCATCTTGTTGAGGGTCTTTCTCTCTTTTACTGAACTTCCGCTTTTCTTAGCATCATGTCCTCTTTTCTGAGGTTTGGCTCCTTTGACAACATGCCCAAAGTATGTGAGATGAAGTTTCACGATCTTTGTCTCTAAGGAGCACCTTAACTTGTTTTAAGCAGATTCCAAATGTGAATAAAAACTGCTTGGTTTTCCTAAGCTTGTTTTCTACCTGCTACTGCAGTTTCTTGGAGCTGATCTGGTCCAGTCTTATGGTCTTAGAATTGCAAATAATGCTTGTAGATGGCTCTGGCTCCTGCCAGGGAGTACCTCGGAGTTCGTGGAAACCAGAAGGTGGGAGCATGGCAGCGTTGGGACTGGTGGTCTCCATGGATAATCTGAGTGTGATGGGCAATGCCTGTTCCCATGGTCTGCTCACAGCTGGTGGCTAAGGACTGCTGGCATTCCCACATCCTCCTAAGCTGTGCTTCGTGGAGGCCAGACAGCTGAGCGGGGCCACACAGTCCCTGGCTTGATCCATTACAGAGCTATCTCTGAACCTTATTGAACAGCAGCAAAAGTGACCCGTTTTTTCTGGGATCAGTGCTGAGAGCCCCATCCCAGCAGACATCCACATGACACGGAGTCCTCCAGGAACGGTAGGTTTGGGGACAGGGTTCTGTTGACCATCTCCTTGCTGGGTCCTTGCAGCCTGCTCCGACATGGGGATGCCTGCTTCCTGCCTGAGGAGTGTCCATGCACCTGGAAGGGGAAGGAGTATTTCCCTGGGGACCAGGTCACATCATCCTGCCACACCTGGTAAGTGGCAGTTGCATCCTGTGCTCTACTTTTTGTTGGGGGATGTATGTGGGGAAGGACTCCCAAGTAGAGTTTGCCATTCCTCCTTCTACCATGTTCTTATGTTGTGCGTAAGGGCCTGAATAGGAACCTCTGGGAGCGTGTCCATAGGGAGTTGTGCTGCTAACCCAAACACTGTGCCTTTCGGGCAGTTCAAATCCTCCAGTGGCTCTACCATGGGGGAAAGATGGACAGTCTTCATCCACTGGAGGGCTACCTGTGAGCTGGTTCCTCCTTGGTGGCATTGAGTATGAGAGGATCTGAATACATATAAATATATGCATATAAAAGGACCATTTTAGGCAGTGTGTGTCTGTGTGTGCTTACACAAATACAAGTTTATTTAAGCATGTATCTGAATGTATCCACTTTGCATGTTTGTAATCATGACAGTGTGTTTTATTATTTATATGAACACGTATTTGTGGGCACAGATCCATCTTGGAGGCCCATCTGGTGCGCTGGACACTGATTGCTGTGCCTTGTGGGACTGATGCTGCCCTGTGTCTGTGTCCCAGAGGATGGCTATGGCCTTTCTGACTCTAGCTCATCCATGGCCAAGGCTGGTTTCTCAGGCAGATCAGAGTGTATTTAGAGGGTCCTATCCCTGGCTGGCTGATCCCAGAAGTCCTGAGTATGATGTCAGATGCAGGGCAAAGGTATAATGTGAAAGGTGTTTGCCATAAGCTTGTGGGGTTTCATGACTGTGGTATGCCAGGGCTGACATGGATGCCAAATGTATGGACTGCCCTGGATTATCCCAGGATACACAGGCCTGGGGACTGACTACACAACTTCACTGGATTCCAGCCACTGCACCAACACCCTCACCCTCAGGCAAGGGGTGGCAGTGCCACACACATCATACTCAGAAATCAGACCCAAGATGGAAGGTGGCAGGAAGAGTCTGATGTCAAGGCCAACGGGTTAGGGTGATCTTAAGAGCTGGAACCCTTGTGCAAGGAAACATTTGCCTTGGGGTGGGCATCCTCCCTTCCAAAGAGTACTGGGAGACATGTGGGCAAAGTGCCCATTTAACTTAGTTTTTTAAACCCCACTTTCCCAATACATGTAAAACCTTATGAAAATTCCCTAGTGACGAATACGTCACTGTGTCCCAAATTCCAATTAAGTTTTTCAGGGGGCATTTGGGTGCTGGAGATGCCCTGGGCTGGTAGGGCCTCGTCTACAATGTTATCAGGTGCTACTGAGTCACATACAGCTCAGGAACAGCAGGTCTGAACCCTGTCCTCCCCTGCGCCGTCCTCAGCATCCCCGACACAATGGAGCCCATCTGGAGTCACTGTATCAATCGCTCCATCTCGGTGAGGGTTCTCGACTCCTTCACTAACCCTTTACCCTTCCAGGCATGATATCCTTCTATAAGGAATAGCCTCTCAGTGCACAGTAGTATCTGTTTAATAGGATACACGTCACTTCCAAATTCTGCTCAGTGATGTCGTGCTGGTAGCATGAAGTCAGCCATGGTGGGAATGTTGACAGCATGTATGAAGCTGGGTATGATGAGTAACACCAGCGGGCCTGTGGTCAGGTGTGTGCACAGGTTTAGGGCTATAGGGAATTGGTGAGTAACTGTGTGCACTATGTCACTGGAGAGAGCCCCCTCATTGCTGTTATTCACGTACCCCCAGGGCATACTCTCACTCCTGAAGATTTTAGGCCCAGACTCACTGTCACTCCAGCCAACCTTACTCCTGACTTAGTTCTTGGCTATTTCCATGTCCACTGAGAAATGATGGTTCTGTTACCCTGAAACCTCAGTTTCGTCCTCTCTTCTCTTCCAGCGATCTTGTTCTCCACCCACCCTCAGTTTCTCACTTAAAAGACCATCTCTTACACTGTGTCATTCCCAGTAACTGCAACCAGCCCGTATCTCAGTTCCACGCATCTGAGATACCCCCTGTCTTTATGCTCCTCTGTCACTGTGATTCTCCTAGTCCTTTATCCTTGTAGAGACCTTGGCTCCTCTTTAGCGCTCTCAGCCGCCTCAGGTTCTCCTTTCTCTCCTTAGCCGAAGCCACGATCCATCAGCATACAGCCCCTGTTCACTTGCTTCTCTCCCACTTCACTGTACTCCTGGCAAACCACGCCTTAGTTCCCTCCACACCTTTGCTTCCTCTGAACCTGCATCCCCATGATGGAATCTGGCTGGTGAAAGCAAACAACCTGCTGACAGGCTTCTTTTGAAATTTTAGCTCCTTTATGTATTAACTGTGTGTCCCTTAACTTCTCTGACTCCCAACTTCTGCATAAAAAGGGAAGCACAGTCCTGCCCTCTGGGGAGACGGAACCTTGGGAGCTGGTAATGTCTGCAGCCCAGGGATTCACAGGGGCAACAGCGCCGTCGTGAGTTCCGAGGCCTGCGGGCAGTGCCCTGACTGCTCGCGTGTGTGTTGCAGCAAGTGCGAGGAGGGCTCGTTCCAGTGCACGCTCCACCCGTGTGCCTCCACCTGCACCACCTATGGGGACCGGCATTACCGCACCTTTGATGGGCTCCCCTTCGACTTTGTGGGGGCATGCAAGGTGCACCTGGTCAAGGTGAGTTCCTCCATGTGTCGGCTTAGAGGGCTCCCATTCTCCCATGGGGTGTAGAATAGCCAAGGCCAAGGACCTGCTGGCAGTCAGTGCTGTGGACCCCAGTCCAGTGTTTGATCAAAGTGAGGAAGAGATCCCAGCTCTGGCGCGTGGCTCTCCAGAGACAGAAAGAACTACCACGGAGCAGCCTCCAGGCCGATGGAAGCCACACATTGTAACATCCCCGTGTACCTCTGCACTTACCTTATCACCCTGCTCCAGAGGCTCCTGACGGCTTTCCTGTTTGTAATAATAGCTAGTGCCATTTTTAAAAGGAACTGGGTGGAGTAGTGTGCTGTGTGTCCCACTGCTAATAAAGGCCAGTAGTTCAAATCTGCCAACAGCTTCATGGGAAAAAATAAGCAGTCTTTAAGATTTGTAACCTCAGAAACTTGATGGAGGGTCGCTGTGAGTTGGAATTCACCTAGCAGTGGGTGATGCTCTTTTAAAGGAGCCTGATTGTATAATGACAAAGCACTCAAATTCTAGCCAAAAGGTTAGTGGTTCAAACCCACAAGCTGCTTCAGAGGAGAGAGATGTGGCAGTCAGCTTCCTGGGTATTATAGCCTTGGAAAGCCAATGGAGTCGTTTTGCTCTGTCCTATAGGGCTATTGTGAGTCTCAGTGGACTCAAAGGTAGTTGAGTTGGTTTGGTTTGCTACTTTGTGAGCTTTCATTGTGCACCTGGTGACCTGTGGAGCCATTCCCCCACCCCACGTCCCCCTTCCTGAGATGATTCATTATCCCAGCAAACCTACACGGTCAGTCTTATTGACCACATGTCATGAATACCGTAATTTAGGATTAGGGACATTAAGTATCTTGGACAAGGTCACACAGTCAGTTTAAAGAATCACACACTAAAGCTGTTAGTTCACCCAGAAGAAGAATAATGGTGACATGGGGGTGACCAAGGGAAGGCAGCATCCCCTCCAGAAGGAGAAAAGGGGACCATGAGGGCGAGTGGCAGAGTGCCAGAGACACAACGGGGCAGGCACTGTACTGTGATCTTATCCATAATTTCAGTGAGTCTGTGAGATATTGATTGTCTCACTATCTCATTTTATTTTGCTTTTTAGATTTCAATAGTATAGCCCTGGTCACATAGTATGTAGGGAGTAACCCAAAGGTGGTGCCTCTCTGGAAGGTCGAATCCACCAGCTGCTCCACGTGACAAAGCTGGAGGGTCTCCTCCCCCCAGCTCCTCCAGGGCCATTTACAGGCTTGGAGAACCTGCTGGAGGGTCAGGTATTAATGCATCCCAGCTTTACAGTAGAGTGATTGTGTGAGTTTGGGTTTGTTTTTTAATTGAAAGGCTAATATATAGTATATAGTCTTCATGAACAGTTAAATCAGCATTGAAAACAATTCTTCCCTTCTCACAAGCTCTAGTCCATCTCCTGCTGGACAATCACACCTAACAATCTGGTGTGAGGCTGCAAGGCCATTTTCCATCAACATACACACCTGCCTGTGTGCACACACATTTCGTTTAGCTTATATAAATGGGATTCTTCAGTTTGCTTCACTGCCTCCACTTATTCAGAACATTATCTCAAGTCAATGTGCTGCTAGATCTTTCCCTCATAACAGCTGGATAGAATTGTACAGAAACGATATCCTCTAGTTTGCTGTATCATTCCCTGTTGAGGTTGTTTCTGAAATTGAAAAATTAAAATGCTGCAGTGAGTGCTTTTATGACTATATCACTAGATTCTTAGATGTCGAATTCCTGCATCAGAGTTACATACACTTAAAATGCTGCTCATCACTGGCAAATTGCCCTCAAAAAAGACCTCCACTGTCGTCAATGGTGTCTATAAGGCAGTGTATCTACCACTCCCGCTCCTACCGATGCCCATCGTTCCCCTTTACTAGTTAGTTTCATGTGAATTTTAGAGCATCGTTAGATACTGGACCATGTAGGAAAGTGAGCTTCAGACGGCTGAAGTAAGTTGCCTGAAGCCACATATCTAGAAAGAGTAGTTGTTGTTATGTGCCATCAAGTCGGAAGCAACTCAGAGCTGAGCCTCCAGTTGGATTTCAGAGGCATAAACTGCACGAAAGGAGATTGCTCATCTTTCTCCTACAGAGCAGCTGGTGGATTAGAACCACGTGTCTTTGGATTGGCCACACAGCTCCTCCCCACTAGGCCATCAGAGCTCTGAAAAAGTAGACTGGATCCAAAACCACTTCAGAGTCAGGGTCTACCTCTGTGATTCTCAGCAAGGTTTCTTCTCTCAGCTTAATTTAGATTTTTTTTTTCTTCTCTCTCTTCAGAGCACGTCAGATCTCAGCTTCTCTGTGATTGTGGAAAACGTGAACTGCTATGGCTCTGGCATCATCTGCAGGAAATTTATTTCTATCAACGTTGGGAACTCACTCATCATCTTTGATGATGACTCAGGAAATCCTGTAAGGCCTGGTACAGGCAAAGGTGGTATAGACTGTTTAATGGTTACCCAGAGGGCTTGGGGTGGAGGAGGGCTGAGATCTGATTTCCTTCTCTGAAAATGCCACTGAGTCAGGAATCCAGACTGAATTTCTTGATCAAGGTCTGGAGCACAAAGGTCATCATTGTCAGGGAATGAGGGAGGGACTGATGTGTGAGGCCCAAAGGCTGGGCAGTTGCTTGCAGCCAGGCTTGTCTGGCCCAGGCTCTGAGTGCCACACAGGACTGACCACTTCTGTCTTCCTAGAGTCCCGAGAGCTACCTGGATGAGAAGCAGGAGGTGCACACGTGGCGAGCAGGATTTTTCACACTGGTGCATTTTCCACGGGAACACATCACTCTTTTATGGGACCAGAGGACCACAGTGCACATCCAGGCTGGGCCTCAGTGGCAGGTAAGCATGCGAGCAGTGATCATCGAGTAGCTCTCTGCTCAGTCTCTGGGTATCCTTGGGTGAACATCATGTCTTCTCAGTTCCACTCTCTCCGTCCACTCTATGCTCCTTCCTCTCTGACTCCCCTTTCTCTCTTCTGAAGCTTTGGGTCTATGATTGGGCTTATGGTGAGCCTTCTACCCAGCTGTGACTCTCAGATGTCTGTAACTAACTGTGACACCCTTTCTCCTTTCAGGGACAGCTGGCAGGACTCTGTGGAAACTTTGATTTAAAAACCATCAATGAGATGAGGACCCCAGAGAACTTAGAGCTAACCAACCCCCAGGAGTTTGGCAGCAGTTGGGCTGCAGTCGAGGTAAAGCTCCTCAAACTGACTCACATCCCTCATCTCGAATGGGCCTTGGGAGATCCTGGTTTCCAGTCAGGACAAGAGGGCACCGGTGTCCTTCAGTCTCTGACTCAGTGTCACTGACCTTAGACTACTGCACTCTGAGGACATGCATCCTTTCGTCCTGGATCGAGCCCTTCTGAGGGATAGGGAAGTGAGGGTAAGACAGAATCTCTGTCCCACAGAAGAGGACCACTTAGTTGTTGTAGTTGTTGTTGTTAAGTGCTGGTGAGTCAAGTACGACCTATAGCGACCCTAAGAACAACAGATCTGAACCCTGTCCTGTCCTCTGCCATCCTTCCAGTCTCTGACACTTCAAGCCCATTGCTACAGTCACTGTCAATCCTTCTCGTTTACGGTCTTGGTTTCCTTTGTTTCCCTCTACCTTTCCAAACATGATGTCCCTCTCCAAGAAATAACATCTCCTAGCAACATACTCAAAGTTTGTGAGATGAAGTTTCATCATTGTTGCCTCCAAGGAGCCCTCTGGCTACACCTTCTCCAAGACGTATCTGTTCTTTTGGCAGACTGAATGCAAACCCACTATTGTTTAATTGATTCTAACTCATGCCAACCCTTCACTGGGTTCCCAAGGCTGTCAGTCTTAGTAGGAACTGACGGCTTCATTTTTCTCCCAGAGTGGCTGTGATCGTGTGGTGGACTTAAACTGCTGACTGGTTAGCAGCCCAGTACATAATCCACTATGCCATCAGGACTCCTCTAATTGGAGAAAGTGAGGTTTAGTTATATTTGACCATCTTCCTCCTCTCTGTATCCCCAGTGCTTGGTTTTCAGTCTGCACAGAACAGTGACCAGGAAAGACAGATAGGGGTCAAGGTTAATCAGTGAGGGTTTCTTGAAGAAAGTGGGCCTTGTGCTGTTATTTGAAGTATAGACCTTGAATTAGAGTTGATGATTGTTTCTAGAGAAGGCCTCTGAGAAGGAGGATTGTGTTAGCAGAAGCAGGAATGAGGGGATCTTCCTGAAATTTAGGATGTGTTTGACTGGGGCTGTCTAGCTATCATTATGGGATGGGGACACAAAGCACTGAGTGGGGAGCAAGTGTCTTGTTGATGTCTTGGATCATCCATACCTGCTAGGTGATCCTTGAGTAAGTTCTTGCTTCTCTGTGGTCTTCTGTGAAATGGGAAGATTGTGCCCGGAGAACCAGAAAGTAAATTCACCTTACACAGCGACTCTGGCCAGCCGGATGAGGCTGCCTCATAGGCTGCATGGAGAAATATCCGTGACCTGTGTTCATGTGTACATATTTGCCTTTCTTGAGTAAGCGAACTGTGGTCTCCACTTGCCTTTACTTCCTTGTTGGGGATTAGACAGAGATGAGCCTTTGTAGACTGGGGTTTGGGAAGCTGTTGGTCAGGTCTTGGAAGTTGAATGTAATCCTGAGGTGGGACAGAGCTATCCCCATAGATAAGTATACCTCATCACTCCCATTTTAAAGAAAATTAGTAAGGGCCTAACCTTTGTGGTATCACACCCGTTTCCATTTCCCCGTCTCTCTTGGTGCAGCCTGGAGGAATCCAGTGAAAATGACTTGATGGAAGAAGTTCAGCTCTGAGCAGACGTTGAGGGTATTTGTATTGAGTGCTGTTTAGCAATCTTACTATAAATGTAACAGTTTAAAATATCACGCAAGTATTGTCTTAGCATCTCTGTGAGTCAAGAATCTATGGGCCATAGCTTGGCTTAACCTCTCATGAAGCTGCAATACAGTTATCATCGAGAGCTCTGTTCTTACCTGTAGGCTTAACTGAGGAGGGATTGAATTCCCTATGTCACAGCAGCCAGTTCCTTGCAACTATAGATCTGAGCTTCTGGCTATTTCGCGAGCTGTTGATCAGAGGTCACCGAGAGACTACCCACAGCTTAACACAACTATGTGCTTCCTCACTGCAAGCCAAGAGGAAACTCTAGCAGGACATCCTCTCTAGTCTTCTGTAACATAACTGAATCTTACAGACGTAATCACAGCTATTCCCTCACCTTTGCCATATTCTGTTGGTTAGAAGCAAGTCATAGTTGCCCCTGGCACTCATGGGGAGGCACTTACACAATGACATAAACAACAGGAGTTGAGGGTTGTGAGTGTCACTCTACAGTCTACTGCCACACCAGGCTGTAGCCCTGCCTTTGCCCCTCAGTGTCCAGACACCCTGGACCCCCGGGACACGTGTGTCCTGAACCCTCTTCGAGAACCATTTGCCAAGAAGGAGTGCAGCATCCTCCTCGGCGAGGTGTTTGAGACCTGCCATCCTGTGGTAAGTGAGCCCCAGCCTTGGCCAACCCCGAGTCCCAATCCTGCTTCCCTCGAGTCCTTTCCGCTCCCAGACTCCCACACGCCTCAGGCCTAGCTAGGGCTGCAGACCTGCCTCTTCCCATCCTCTGCCTCCATCCTGTTCATGTGAATTTGTCCTGCTCCCTTAGATGCCTGTGCATACCAACAACAAGATCTTCTATGTCCTTTTCGAGCCCCTCTCAATCTGATGTTGCATCCTTAATGGGAAGTCCTTCAGACTAGTTAACCCAAATTCCTTCTCTTGTGGTGTCCATGTTGCCCATGCTGCCTCCACGGGAGACAAGGAAAGCTGGGGCTCCCTGGCACCCTCCAAGGCCTAAAAGGCTGGACTTGGCTGTCTCGGGTCTTGTTGGGCAGCTCTGAACTTCTACCAGTTCTGCAGCTGTACCCTTAGTCCTTGGCCCCGATAGCTCAGACTCAGAATTAAGTCTAGTTCTCAAAACCAATGTCTCTTGTCCATGGAGCTCTTGTTGCCCTGCAAGCTGGTTGACTTCCTCCCCTCACTTCACCACAGGCAGCTCATCTCATTCCACGGTCCCTTCATGTTTATGCTCGATAGTGTCAGATGAGAAACTGCAGGTCTCAGAGTTAAGCTCTGACCTCTGACCTTTGACTTCTGAATTTTTACTTTCTTCAGGTAGATGTCACCTGGTTTTACTCAAACTGCCTGACAGACACATGTGGGTGCAGCCGAGGTGGGGACTGTGACTGCTTCTGTGCCAGCGTGTCAGCCTACGCCCACCAGTGCTGCCAACATGGTGTGGCCATTGACTGGCGGACCCCGCGCCTCTGCCGTGAGTGCTTCAGCCCGTCACATAGAGGGCAACAGTGGGGCCTTATTGTGGGCAGGCCGCTGGATACCATTACTCTTGTTGTTGTTGTTATGTGCCGTAGAGTTGTTTGCGACTCATAGCGACCCTATGTACAACAGCCCTAACCCCTGCTCTAGCCTGTGCCAATCTCATTGCCTCCGACACACCCATCCCGATCACCCCAGTCACTGAATCAATCCACCTCATAGAGGGTCTTCCCCTCCTGCTCTGTCCCTCCACCCTACCAAGTATGATGTCCCTCTCCAAGGACCTGTCCCTCCTTGCAACATGTCCAAAGTATGTCAGATGAATCCCCAGAATCCTTGCCTCTAAGGAGTAGCCTGGTTTAACCCTCTCCAGGATGAATCTGTTTGTTTTCTTGGCAGTCCATGGTACATTCAATACTCTAGCTGGTGTTTATTGAGCACTTACCAGGTGCCAGACTCCAACTGCTGGGACTCCTTTAATTCTCTATGAACTAGGGGTTATTTATTCCTATTTTACAGTTGGAGTAACATGCCCAAAATCATTCAAATAAGTCATGGAGCTGAGGTTAATCCTTAGATAACCATTCTTCTTTACCATGTTGCTAGAGGAGTCAAGAGTTGGGAGTTTCAGACCCAGACTTTTCATTTGTAAGCTGTGTAGCCTCAGATAAGTGATCTGACCTCTCTCTGGGGCTCAATTTTCTTATCTGAAAAATATGAATGGATTTCCACACTGGATATATTGTGAGAATCAAATAGGGTGATATATATAAGAAAACTCTGTCAACTGAAACCTAGAACCCTATCAGAGAAAGCACAAATCATTAGTTTACTGAAAGCATGAGTGATTTGCAAGCCTTTTGAATGATATATCCCCATCAAGATAAAGAACTTTAGCACATACATAACTACATGCATGTATACGCCTCCTCTGTAAATGTTGTTCTGGTCAGGTGCCTTTGAGTTGACTCCAACTCAGACCCTGTTTACAATAGGATGAAACCCTGCCTAAACCTGAAATATCTTCACAATATTTGCTGGGCTTATGTCCGCTGTGTAAATATCACAGAACAGACACAAATTTTAATTCTGAATGAATTATGTGCTTATTCTTGCATATGCTATCATGGCTATTCCCTCACCATTGCTGTATTCTTTTAATTAGAACCAACTCATATGTGTATGTGTATTCTTGCATGTTAATCATTGTTCTTAGTAGTCCAGCACTTGTCTGTCAATTTTCTGTACTGAGGTAGCTTGTGGGTGCTGTGATGCTAAAGGCTGTGCCACCAGAGTGTCCAATGCCAGACAGGTTTGAGTAGAGCTCCCAGATCAAGACAGACTAGGGAGAAGGAATGGCCATCCACTTCTGAAATAGCAAGCCTCTGAAAACCTTATGAACACAGGTGGATTGACACAGTGACTGTAGCAATGGGCTCAAGTGTGTCAGAGATTGTAAGGTTGTTCATAGGGTTGCTATGAGACATACTTGACAGCACCTAACAATAACAACAACAAATATGTGCTTACCCCTGCAGACCAGTGGATTTTCCTGTGGAGTAGGGTATGAGCACACCTTACTCTGGGGGACAGTGGTTATTACATAGGCTCATGGGTCAGACTGCCTGGGTTCAGATCCAGGCTCTACCAAACTTTGTGACCTGAGGCACGTTCCTTACCGGCTGAGTTTCGTCATCTGTAGTAAAGAGAAGAAGATAACCATACCTACCTCACAGGATATTGAGACCTTTTCATGAGAATGCATGGAAGGCACTTTTCACTGTGCTCCATACTGGGGCTGGGGCTGCAGCTTCACTTGGGAACATGAACACTCTCCTCGCTGTAAGAGCTGCCACACCAAGGAAGAGATCAGTCTCAGAGCTCTCTTTTTTCCTGCGTGTTTAACCCTTAGACCTTTCTGCTCCAGATACCCTGGGTCCATATGCGGCCTTGCATTCCCTCGACTTCTCTGATAGAAATCCTTCCAGAAGAGGAAGCTAACTTGTGTTGAGGACCTGCTGTGTGCCAGTACCTGTTCCCTGTGGGTGCCAACTCAGCTAATTTTCAGGGTCTGGATCAGGGGAGAGGTGTGTGAGGTGAGGCAGACACTCACTTTTGGGTGCAAAATTTAGAAGTACAAGATTAGTGTTACTGATTGTAGCATTCTGCCTCGGCCTCACTATGGCTCAGTGAACCTTTGTCACTATTCCGCCTTTGTTCAGATTGTTGGTGTACAGTTCATCGTGGATTGTTTGCATTCATTTTATTTTTAAAAATCATTGCATTAAACAGCTGTTAATCTTATGACTGAGTATGTGGCATCCCCTTACGTTTTGCATGCAAGGTGAGTGTCTCCTTCTAGTCCAGGTGCTGGCACGCCCATGGGGCAGGCATGGTACTGGTCCCACTGTAGAGAAGAAGAAATTGAGGTTCAGAGGGGTTAAGTAACTTGTCCCAACTTGTGCAGTTTCTGAGTGTGAGAGACGGTGTTTGAATCTAGGTCTGCCTGAAGGCTTCTAATTTTCGGATTCAAACTTCTGAATCTGTAAATGAGGAAAATGAGGCCCAGAAGGCAGGTGCCGGTGCACAACCACATGGTGGCTTAGTGGTAGGTCTCCTGACTCTGGAGAGCAGTGCCAAATACAGAGGCTTGTGTTTCAGGTATGGGACAGAGTGCATACTCCAGGCCATGCCTACGTGAGATTGGCCCTTCCTACACCTCTATTCTATGTCCACTTGGCCTTGTTCTGGGGTTAAGTGCACCTTCCAAGATCAACAATTCCTGGCCCTCACCACAGCCCAAAGGACTTGATGGTACCTGGAGAGTAGACTGTGATTCTGGGGAAGACCACTAGAGGGTGCGCTGAGCTCATGTTCGCAGGAGCTTCCCCAAGCCTCCTGGTTGGAGAGCTCTTTCTGCAGCGTTAAGGGAAACTCCTGGAACTAGAGGAAACCTTGTGTCCTGAAGAACCGCTGTCCTTCTTTCCACCCAAGGTTTCAAACGAATAAGCTTCGACTGAGAACTCACATTCCTCAGTGGATGAGGAGCTCAGCGTCTTCTGCAGCATTTCTCATTGTTGTTTCCGTGCCTTGATTTCCATTTTGCCCTTCAGGGCTAAACAACCCTTTCTGTTCAGCATTTATATGTTCATTCAACAAACACATGCTGAATGACCACAGTGGGCCAGGCCTGAGCTTTGTGCTGGAGGCAGGAGTTATTAGATTTCCTCCTCCTAGTGACAGTCTTCAGACATCTGAATCCTGTCACCCTCCCTGGATCTTGGAGTTTGCAAATCAGGTCAGGCCTAGCTCGTGGGGAAGGAGGGAAATCTGGGATGCTGGAGAAGCTTTGACTTTGTCCATCTGTTCCAGGCCCTAGTCTGGCTCTTAAGAAGCTTCTATTCTCTCTCTTTCAGCATATGACTGTGACTTCTTTAATAAAGGTAAGTTCACTCTTTTCAGTGGGAACTTGGGGATCTGGGCATTGCCAAGCCTGTCCTGTAGCTGCATCAAACATTTTAAGGTGCTTCTGGCCCTGGGAGAGGAGTCAGGGGGGACCTCTAACCATCTGGGACTCTATCATGTGAAGAGAGCCCGACTGCAGGGCCCAGGGATCCCCAGGGCGCTTTGTCCCTGGCAGCTCTCATACTTCCTGCTCAGGTCCCAGCCAGATCAAGCATGGCCAAGCTCCCTGAGGATTGTGCTCAAACAGGGCAGCTTTCCCAAGAAGCAAAAGCCATAATTGTCCCTGTGTGCCATGACCTTCAGAAGCCAGCGCTTCAGGCCCACAAAATGCCATCTTGGGTTTCCTAAAAATTTTAGTTGGCAAAGGCAAATATAGATCAATGACTGGTGTAAAACCTGACTCAACCTATTACATTAGATTTTTTTTTATTTAGCCTCAAGCTACAGGTTAAAGTTTCAGGGTATAGAATAGACTTCAGTGTCTAGGGTGAAAATGCAGGTCACCACCAAAGGAAGTGGATGTCCAGCAGGAGAGCCAATTAGTCCATTGAATTACTAATTAGGACTGTCCACAGATAGCGGTCTATTGTGGTGGCTTAGTGGTAAGGAGTCGTGCTGCCAATCCAAAGGTATGCAGTTTGAATTCACCAGCTGCTCTATAGGAGAAAGGTAGGCAATCTCCTCCTGTGAAAACCCTCTCAAGGGTTAGCCATGAGGTGATTCTGACGCAACAGGATGTAACAACAACAACAACTGTAAACTACACAATGAGGCCCAGGTGACACTCTGACAGATCCTTAGTACCATCCATCTTTGACTTCTGAGCCTCTGTCCCTTTCAAGGCACCATCCTGACAAGAGCAGGCCTGTATGGGTATAGACTTCACTCTGCCTCTTGCATTATCAGGCTTTGGTCTGGAGCATTGTCTTGGTAAGAGTACAGAGAACGGAGTGGAGAGGGACAGAGGGACAGACTGTAGACAAAGTTTCCAGTTTGAGAGTCTGTGATGATGAAGGCTGGACTGGCTTATGATGTGATCATTCACAATGGCTGTGGTCCTTCCAGACCATTCCCTAAAGAGGCTCCTGATGACACCAAACTCTTAACCCACGAAGGAATAAATCTGTAATGGTGGAATGACAATCCCTGGGGCAGGCAGAGTCTGTCTGACATCAGGCAGTAGGACCCCAAGACATTTTAACAAGACAGCTCTGAGCTGTTTTCTCCCTTCTGTGGCATTTTGGGTGACAGAAACTGACAAAGGACAAGCTGTTTCCTGCATCCTCCACCCACCCACCCACCTACCCACTCATCCCTTGCTCTGCTCTTCCACCAGCATTTTCTCTAGTCCAGGCCCTAGCTGGGGGCTGGAAATCAACAATAAATCAAGCCCAGCCCTGTGGTGCCGGACCAGAATCAGTGACTGGAGCTTCTCTCTGCACTCGGCTGGGGCCTTGGGATTGACCATCGTGGGTGTATTTACACTAAGGAAAGCAGTAAACACTACGAATAGTGGTTCTCTTATTCCCCTGCCCCTTTTTAAGAGATCTTTGGTTGTTAAGCATTGCCCAACACCACCTGTCTCCCATGTGGAAGGGGCCAGAAGCAGAACTATGATCCGGATCCATATCCTAAGAGCTGTGATCTGGTCCGCATGTGGTATGTTCTGAGGGCTGGTGTGGCAGCCTCAGGGAGGGACAGTGTTTCCCTGTGACAGATGAGGGTGCAGGGAAGGCTTACTTGGTAGCATTTGCACTTGGCCCCAGAGATTGAGTAGGTGTTCGCTCACCAGACACAAAGTCACTGAGTGGGTGGGGCTGCATGAGGAAAGAGGTTTGAAGCAGTGCAGCTTTCTCAGGGAGGAGATAGAGCAAAGACAGGAGAAGGAGGCTAGGGGAGTAGGGGAGGCAGTGAGAGAGACAGAAGTTAGATTGTAAAGAGGTCCCAAATTCAAATCTGAGCTCTTGGATTCTGTGCTGAGGGTAATAGGGAGCCATGGAAGAATTAGTTGCCAGAACGGAGTTTGGTTAGGGATGTGACTCAGGCTGCCACAAGAAAGAGACATTAGAGTGGGCATCACAGCAGTGCCAAAAAGGTAGGTAACGAGGCTACTGCGATTATCTAGCAAACCCATATCCCACTCCAACTACAGGGATATCACAAAAGCATGAAAGTCACACATTTGTGTTTATATATTTATAAACACTGATACTGAGTGAGGGCCTTCTCAGTCTTCATACCTTGAGGCAAGAACCAGGTCTCATATCTTCTCCCAGAGGTGCCTCTGAATAGAACACAGGTAATAATGTAGAGTTCCCAGCTCCTAGAGAGCCATCTGGGGACCTGGATGCCTCCTAGGGGTGTCGTGTTCAAGCTCCCTGTGAAATGATTCAGGTGCAGAGGGTCAGCTCCTGTCAGTTGGCAATCCGGTGTTCCTGTCCCTTCCTTCTCAATGAAATCCATGTCCCCCGGGACTAGGCTGAGAGACAGATGATGCCCTTTCCCCCTTCCTCTGACTGGTGAGATGGGTGGAGATGAAGGTGGGCAGAGGTCCAGTAGGTGGAATCTATGGCTGGCCCCCTTCTCTCTAGCACTAGGCAAAGGTCCCTACCAGCTGGCCAGCTTGGCAGCCAGTGGTGCCCTGGTGGCCTGGAAGGCATCAGGAAGTGCTGTGGTCCTACTGAAGACAGAAGACATGGCACCAGGGGACAGTGTGAACTTCTTGCTGACAGCTGCCCTGTACAAGGCCAAAGCCCATGGTAAGGCCCACACTGCAGCCCCATCCAGCCCTCTGGGGAGGGATCCGGGTGCTGGACTAGAGGAGCGAAGCCCCTAAGAGCAGTCAGTAGTGACCAGAGGAGCATGGGGCTCCACCACGCTCATGAGTGGCGGGAGATAGCCTTCTGGCTCCTTTCCTGCTGAAGACTCCTGGGTCAGCCCCTATGCTCTCCACAATGACACCTTCATTTTCTCTCCAAACACAGACAAGAAAAGCTAGGTGGAAATGACTACTCCCTCTCTCCCAGCTCCCCTCCCTCCCTTCTCCCTGGTTTGAGACTGGCTAATTGGATCAACCTCAACATCCAGGGAAAGCCAGTTGCTCTCTCAGCTGGTGCCTTCTCTGTGAGTGGGAGAATGGGCTCTAATGGCCCTGGAGTTTGAGCTGGTGGGATGCCAGACTGGACGCACGGATCAGCCACTGGGTCTCAGGCTGCCAGCAGGGTGGAAACGTTGTCCTCTGTTCAGGGTTCAGCAAGGCTTCGGGGTGGGATAGGGGGCAGTGTAGAGTCTTGCCTGGTCGGGGTGGCACCTTGGTGGTATTTGTGATAAATGCTGTGTCACCGAATCCTTATTTCAATCTGTGCTAGAGCCTCACACTTTATGGCCCTTTGCTCTCCCTCCTATCACTGCCATCAGGATTTCTCTTCCAGTCCCTGTACCGTCTCTAGTCAGGGATGAAACCAGAGACTTCTCAACCCATCCCAGGAAGTGCTCAGATTCTCTGTGTCTGCTACTTATCTGGTTCAGAAGCTCTGTCTCCCCCCCTTCTTGCCCCCCATCTCTCTCTTCCTTTCTTGGCCTCCTTGCCTCTTCTCTCTTCACTGTCTCCCTTTCATTCATTGATCTCCAATTCCATGCCCAGTGTGGAGCTGGACATTTGGAAGTTAGGGATGTAAGCATCACCCTGGCTGTGGGTGATCTTGGTAATGTGAACTGGGGCTACAGTAGGAGGCAGTGGGCAAATGGCTAGTTTCCATCACATTCTCTGCCTGAGTCCATCTGTATCTTCCGTGGACAGAGAGAACGCGGAGGGTAACAGTGCTTGTCCACCAGCAGCACACAGTCTAACTGGGGAGACACACAATCAAAGACAGTTACAGGATCAACAGGAACGGTCGGGATGAGTCCCCACCTTAAGGAGTCAGAGAAGGCTAGACTTGGAATACATGACGTTCTCCTGAAAGCTGAACAAGTCAGAATGGGACTTACAGGCCAAACTCAGGAGTTGAGACTTGATTCTGAGGGGAGTGGGCAGCCCAGGAAAAACCTTTAAGAGGAAAAGGACCGCCTCACTCCTGCCCAGCCCTGGAACAGCCAATGTTTCATGCTGTGGATGATGACCTTGGTAATAGGAGCTTGGGCTACGATAGGAAGTAGTAGCAAGTTGTTACTAAAAGGTTAGCTGTTCAAAGCCACCCAGAAGCACCTCAGAAAGAAGTAAGGCCTGATGATGTGCTTCCAAAAAGTCCAAGCCTTGGAAACCCTACACACAACTCTTGAGGGTACCATGGATTGGAATTTACTCTTCAGGGACTAACAGGAACTGTGTCTCAGGCAGAGAGGATGTGAGTGAGGAACAACTAGCAGGCCGAAAAAGTGGGCTGAGGGGAGGCCGGCAGGGGAAGGGGAGCAGGGCCCAGTTAATCTGCAGGGTGAGTCACTGAGAGTGCAGATGTTGGCCTGGATGTTACCTTACACAAACATATATATACACACACACACACATGCGCGCGCGCTCTCTCTCTCTCTCTCACACACACACACACACACACACATACACACGTTTTCTCTCTCTCTCTCACACACACACGCACACACAGACACTCCTCAGCTTTCTCTATGCTGACATTACTCATTTACTCATTACCCATGTGACTCTTTGCAGATCCTGACATGGTGTCCCTGGAGGCAGCTGACAGACCCAACTTCTTCCTCCATGTCACAGCCAATGGGTCTCTGGAGCTGGCTAAGTGGCAGGCCAGCGATGCCTTCTCCCACCATGCCACCTTCTCACTGCACCGGGGGCCGTGGCAAGGCGGCCTGGTGGCCCTGGAGGCCCTGGCAGAGCCTGGCTCCTTCCTTTATGCGTCAGGCCCCACACTCGTCCTGCGGCTCTACGAGCACACAGAGGCCTTTCGCCGGAGCATGCTCTTCCACCTTCTGGGTGAGTGTCCACCCAACTCTCACGCTCAGCCCCTCTGTCCTCTCCACTCTACTGCCCTTCCTGTCCTCTCCCTGCCTCTGTCCTCCACTTGCCTCTAAAAGTCAGCATCCTCACTGCCCTGATCCAGGAGACCACACCATCCCACCCCTTAAGGGGAGAGGGCCCAACCTCCATGTTGGCAGCTGGGAGAGTCTTGAACAATGCAGCCTGGGTCTGGCCAGCTGCTAGAGGCCCTTTCCTGGGCCCTGCCTCCTGTCATAGGCCAGTGGTCTAAAAATACCCCAGCCTTTGTGGAAAGGAAGGGGAAAGTGGGCCTGGCCGCAGTTTGCGTAGCTGGAGGCTCAGGTTTCTTGCTGACGGGAACACATGCCTGCTCCGTGAGCTCACAGACTGCCCAGTGGGGTCACAGGCCACTGAGGAGCCAGCAAGTATCCCCTCTTCCTGAGTGGACATAGGTAGGCGGCTCCTCAACTTTCAGCTAAGGCCAAGGGCGCCCAGCCCGTGTCACCCCGAGCCAGAAGCCATCATTATTTCTGGATTGCTTCAGCCTGGCCTCACTGTCCCGCTCTTACGCAGGGACGTCTGTACCTGCATGGATATCAGGTGCTATATGTTGTCTGTTTACATGTCCACATATGTGTCTCCAGCCAGCTTCTTCATCTTTTCATTACCCAGACTCCAGGGCTGGGGAAACTCATTCTTTTTATATCAAGCAATTATCTGCTCATAGAACCCCAACCAGGTCAGGCCTGCCACTGCCGGTGAGAATGAGACTTGCCCATAAGGGGAACGCTTGTGTTCCTCTCTGGAAGGAACCAAGCAGAGTGGTTATAAGCTCACATTTTGAAGATGGCTGGTCTTGAATTCAAATTCAGATTCCAGACTTTGACACTGGGAGGAGAACCTCCACCTCCCTGTCTCTGTCTCTTCACCTGTAAAATGGGATCATTTGCTTCATAAGGCTGTGAAGATTAACTGGGCCTTTGCTCAGGCTAACACACAAGGCAGTGCTCCTCTAATAAAGGTTCTTGGTTCTAATCTGAAGGATTTTGGAAAGTGTATTTCTTCATAGATACCGCATGGTAGTTACGGCGTCTGGAAGGACTGGTAGCTTGGGCTGCCCCACCTGTGCAGCCAGGCCTCCCTGTTCAGCCTCTGGTCTCTTGTGCGAGGTGGCCTGAAGTGTTGTCTGACTTGGAGCTCTGCCATGGGCATGGATCTTTCCCTAAAGATCCTTGACTCCTCAAAGCACTGGTCTCAGAGCCTCTTTCAAGAGCAAATCTCTCTTGGAAGAGTCTCAGTTTCCCAGTGCTCCTGTTTCATTTGTGAGGTTTTTCCTTGTTGCAAACTAAGTGTTGACTGTTACTGTTGTATATTACGGCAACAAAGACAAGGGTCAGACAAACCCTCCAAGACCCTCCATGTCCAAGGTCAGTTTACCAGGATGCTAATTCATAGAAGTTCTTGGGGAAGAGGGAGAACAGGTCAGGGTAGGGTAGGGTAAGGTTGGGGTAAGAGCAGCCTTCTTCCCCATCTGCAGCCAGATGGCCAGTAGGACCTTGACTACCACTGCCCTTTGTGTTGACTTTTTATCCTGTTTCTCCTGCTTGGGTCCATTTGTCCCTTCTATGGGGCAAGGAGAACACAGGGTGAGCTGGGATTCCTTCTGTCCTCTGGCCCTTGACCTGGAGCTGGTGCCCAGCCTCAGTCTAGGCCTAGGGACACCAGGATGTTCACCGTTCTAGATGCCAAGCCGTTGGGGGCTGCCTACCCCATCTGTGAGTGGCGCTATGATGCCTGTGCCAGTCCCTGCTTCCAGACCTGCCGGGATCCACAGGCAGCCAGCTGCCAGGATGTGCCCAGGTACGGTGACAGGGATGGTGAAGGACTATGGAGATGGAGTCAAGGTGTGTGTACCCGAGTGTTTGAGCCTACTTATGTGTATGTGTTAATAGGTTTAGATGCAGTGGATGTGGTCTAGTCTGCATGAGGGTGCATTCTAGCTAATGTATATAAGCAGTCCTTCCATTATATACATATGATTTACACATAACCTGTAGTTATGAACCAATTTCTATAAAGTATGTTATGTTAAAAATTCAAGGTACATACAATGGTTCTAACAAATAAATGCTATTTTGAGATGCACACCAAAGCATTCTTATTACTGCCTTATTATGTTAAGAATGTTTTCAATGTCTCTGGAAGTACTTTCTTAATGTTTTTGCAAAACATAGAAATGTTTATTATATATTAAATACAAAGATAAGCTTTTGATTGGCATTAGACACAAACCAAAGCTAACTATTCTGACTTAACGCACAAATCTGGCTTCAAGGTCCACTCAGGGAAATGGAACATGTTCCATAGTGTGAACTTCTTGTACTCATGTCTGTGTGTGCGTGTTCTTCATCTGTTGTGTGTATGAGAATGTGGGCGCCGGGATGAATGTGCCTTCATGTTCATACGTATATATCTGGGCGTCATGTGCAAGGAACAGAGCTCCATGTGTGTGTAATCAAATATACACGGACCGCATCCTGTGTGCGTGCCCTTTGTCAGCTGCGTGTGTTTGGTGTTTTGTGCAGCTGTGTGTGTGCACAAGTGTGTCCACACAGATGCTTGTGTGTGTGTGTCTTTGTGTAGGCACGTACATGTGAATAATTTTTAGTCCTGTCTTCTTGGAGAAGCTTGTGCAAGAAAACACCCATGTGGAGAGAATATGGTGGGAGAGTCCTACGCGCCTTTTCTGCATCTTGCATGTGTTATGTGCAGAAGGGAGCTGGTGCATGTATATTTCCCTGATGGTGTGAGTTCCTCTGCAGGAGTGTGCAGTATACATACCTGGGCAGTGCGATCCTGTGTGTATTTGTTAAGTGTCTCTATAGAGCCTAATGTGATTGTGTACTTAAGTACGTATGAACATACACACATGTGTGTGCATTAATACAAGACAAAGCCTGTAATCTCTCCCGAGTGCTCTAATAGCCTAGTGGGTAAGGAGGTGAGCTGCCAACGCAAAGGAATGAAGTTTGGATCCACAAGCTGCTCCATAGGAGAGAGATGGGCAATCATTTCTCATATGATTTACAGCCTCTGAAAACCTGCTGTAGCTACCTACAGCTATGAGTCAGTTCTGACTTGACACATAACAGCAATAACAACAGTGATCCATCCAGATAAGGAGAGTGACCTGCTCCATGTCCCAGACTACTGACAGCTCCCTGCTCTGTTCTCAGAGTGGAGGGATGCATTCCTGCCTGTCCCACCCCGAAGGTCCTGGATGAAGTAACACAACGATGTGTCTACTTGGAGGACTGTAAGTACCCAGGATTTCTTACCCCCTTGGCTTCTTGTAACTCCCCAGCTTCACTGTCCTGTCCCTGTGCACAGCCCACAGAGCCCTGGAGAAGCCAGGCCACCACAGGTATCCTCTGGAATAAGAATTTTATAGAACACATAGGAACCCCATCTGGTGCATTCTCCCATTTCACTGAGAGAAACAATGAGGGCCAGAGAGGGGAAAGGACTGGATGTATATCTGGATTGAGAGCAGGGGTAGCAGAATCTCTGAAGCTGAATCTTGACCATGGCTCAGGTTTGAGGCTGGGGGCGAAGTCCAGACCTGCTGGCTTCTGTGGTGTCAGCAAACACTATGTGGCAGAGGTCCCTGGGCTGACCAGGCAGGCTGACTAACTGGCAGAGCTGTTCCAGGACTCAGTCCACGAGCGCCTTGTTACAGTCCTGCCTGGTGGTGACCTCCTGGACTGCAGTCCTCCTCCACCTGTCTAAGCCCCTTTCTGTTGTCTTCCTCAGGTGTGGAGCCACCAGTCTGGGCCCCCTCAGAGACTCTTGGCAACAAGACCCAGCCTCCCAGTCAAGAGCTGCCCACCCCTGGTATCCAGGAGCTACACCCTCTACAAGAAGCTCCTGGTGCCCCGACTCCCAGGCCAGCCCTCCCCACAGCTGCCCCTTTGACCACGGCCTTGCACCAACCTGTGGCAGCCACCAAGGGGTCAACACAGCCACCAGGCTCCACCCTGCAGCAGCCACAGGGGCTCACCACATCCAACCTCCCCGCCCACCCCACTGAGACCCCAGCCAGCAAAGGAGTGACCACCAGTCGCCTGACCATCTTCCACACTCCAGAGCCCTCATCCCTCCACCTTTTACCACAGAAGGTCACATCCAGTGTGGGGTCCGCTGCCTTGGAGACAACCAAGGTGACTCTGACCCTCACAGAGAGCCCCAACATCACGCTCTCATCCCGGTCACCCCCAGCACCTCGCTTCCCACTCTTGACCAAAGCTGTGACAGTTCCGAGTTATGGCTCTCTGCCCGTGAGGACAACACCCCTACAACCCTTTTCAGGCCTGGAACGGCCAGCAAGTCCCTCCTCCAGGTCTGTGGCTCCCCCAGCAGTGACCTCCAGGCCCTCCACCTCCTCAGGGTCCCACAAAGCCTTGCTGACACCTGCAACAACCAAAGGCATAAACAAGACAGAGCCCACCCAGCTCACTGTGGCCCAGGGAACCTCAAGCCCCAGCAGCTCCGCACCCCCGGCTAGAACTCCAGCACAGCCGCTTCCAGTCAGTCTTTTCACAAGCAAGAGCATGGAGGTGGTGCCACCTACGGAGAAGGTGGAAGCCTGGCACGACCAGCCCGTGGGCCTGCCACAGCCAGGCCCATCCCCTGCTTCCCTGTCCCATCCAGCTCTGCCAACTACCACAGCCACCAGGCCTCTGGCCCGGCCCCCTGAGACCCCAGCTGCTGCCAGTCAGCCCACAGTTGCACACGGGCCGGGTACCACACCCTCTGTGTCTCTGGATTCAACTCGCCCATCCCAGCTCCTTTCTGGCCTGCCTCCAGACACCAGCCTGCCTCTGGCCAAGGTGGGCACATCTGCCCCAGTGGCCACACCTGGCCCCAAAGGCTCTGTCACCACCTCTCCACTCCAGCAGCGGGCCACATCGCTGGCCATGGCCACAACGCCACCTGCTCAGACACCAAGCCCAGCCCTGCCTCTCAGCCCAGCTGTTGTTGCCCAAGTGCACCCACCCAGCGACGAAGCCCCCCAGACCATAGGCACAGCTCCAGGACTCCTCCTGGGAGCCACATCACCAACGTCTGGGGGCGTGGCCATGGCTGAGGTGGTGGCCTCCACAGTGTCAGTCACCCCAGGAAAGAGGACCACGGAAAAGATGACCACACTGTCCAAGCAAATGTATCTGTCCACCTTGGCATATGGCTCTGCCCTGGGTGAGCCCACAGAGCTCATGCCTGCCATGGCCCACACTCTTGCCGCCTTAGTGACAGAGGCTGAGGGTCCCCGAGCTGTTACAGTGCCTCTAGTGTCCACATCCTATGTCCCCAGCCGTGTCTCGGCCAGGACTGCATCCAGGGAGAGCTCACTGGTTCTGCTCCCTCAGCTGGTAGAGGCCCATGGAACCCCAGCAGGACCTCAGCCCCCAGTGGAGCCAGTGGGCGAGGCTACCACCCAGCAGACTGGGCGCTCGGCCCCAGCCCAGAACATCCTGCCTGAGGCTCCGGCAACTGGCATGGAGGCTAATGCATCAGACATCTGTGTCGTGAGTCACCTGTCAGGGTTCTGGCCATGTGTATGTGGGGATATTATTGTCTGTGTGGTATGTGCTGGTATGAGCCAATGTGTGTCTGTGCGTGTGCATGCGTACGTGTGTGTGTGTGTGTGTGTGTATGCATTTGTACCTGGGTTTCTGAGTGTGAGCCAGTGAGTGTGCATGCTTGTGTCCTAGGAGGCTCTCAGGTCTGAATGAGAAACAGATCCCAGAGAATTAGTCCCTGGTCACCTGTGCCCAACCCCAAACCTACTGGGCAGATAGAGGATGAGGACACTATTTCCTGATAGTTTTAACTCTAGGTCCTTTTCTCTGCTGAAACCTGCACTGGGCCGGGGGGTGGGGGGCGGGGCGGGAGTCCTGTGTCCTTACTGCCTTGGGGAGCAGGGGTGAGGTGGAGTAAGTGACTGTAGCCTTTGGGATGGCACTTACACTGTCCCTCCACTCCCCAGCCAATTGCCGAGCAGGACTGTGTCCGCCACATCTGCCTGGAGGGTCAGCTGATCCGTGTGAACCGGTCCCAGCACTGTCCCCAGAGCGCAGCACCCCCTCTCTGTGGGGTTCTGGGCCTTGCTGTGCGCATGGGCGGGGACCACTGCTGCCCCCTCTGGGAGTGTGCCTGTGAGTTCTGTCCCCTCTGTGACACTATCCTGTAGTGGTCTCTACCCTGGTCTGCGTGCTCCCCAGTTCAGGATAATCCTTACTTCAAATACTCAGAGATTTCCTGACCTGAGTGGCCCTCCAGACCTCCAGGGCCACTGGAGCACCTGCCCATGGCAACCTTGACCTCTTCTTGTCTCCTGCCCCACTCCCCAGGCCGATGCTCAATCTTCCCTGACCTGAGCTTTGTGACCTTTGATGGGAGCCATGTGGCCCTGTTCAAGGAGGCCATCTACATCCTCAGCAAGCGTCCTAATGAGATGGTTACTGTCCACGTCCTGGACTGTAAAAGTGCCAACCTGGTGACCGCCCCTTGCTTCTCTTCTTTCTGGGGCCCAGGGACTTGACTAGGTTTGTAGGGGAGTGAATCAGCTTTTGAGGGGTGCTAGAAGAGAGGGCACATGCAGGCCCCCCTACAGCAGCTCCCTGTGGAATCTCCCAGACTGGAGGCCTCTCCTGGCTCAGGTCAGGTGAGAAACCCCTAGTGGTCATAGAGAGGAGTGCGCCACCTCCCGGACCACCCTGAGCACTGCACCACCCCCAGCTTGCCCCAGTTTCCTCCAGGCCCGGTGGCTTCAAGGATGTCCTGTGGCCACTGGGGCCCAGCTGCACGGGAATACCTACTAGGATGTCCCACGAGCCAGATGGAGCAGCCTCCCCACCCCTTGGGCTTGCATGAGGTCATGTGGAGCTAGCAATGTTCCACGGGATTCTGTGCACCATCTGCACAGTCCGGATGGGTGCCCCTGGCATAGCGGGGAGGGGAGAGTGTGCTCACACTTGCTGCACCTGCTCACTTGGCAGAGGAAGCAGGCCGGAGCTCCGGGTTGATGCGTGGGGCTCTCTCTGCAGGGGCACCTGAACTGGCCCCCGTTCTGCCTGGTGATGTTGAATGTGACACACGTGGCTCATCAGGTCACCATTGACCGGTTCAACAGGAAGGTGAGTGCATCAAGAGCCAGCCCTCCAGGGATGACAGCCCGTGGACAGGCTGGATGTCCACAGTGGTGAGGACTGAGCCTTATATAGGATGGGAGGCGGGTGTACGGAAGGGACCTCTTAGGAGGAAATAACTCGAAGTTAAATCATCTGCCCTTGAATCTGAGTGTAACTCTTGGCGACCCCACGTGTGTCGGAGAAGAGCTGTGTCCACAGGGCTTTCAGTGGCTCGCATCGTAGCTAGAATTTCTGTCATCTGTAACAGAAATACCACAACTGGGTGGCTTTAACAAACAAATATATTTTCTCACAGTTTAGATGACCAGAAGTCTGAGTTGAGGGTATTTTCTAGAGAAAAGCTTTCTCTCGCTACTGGTTCCAGAGGGTCTTAGGTCTGACCTTCTGTTCCTGTGTTATCTTCACATACTTTGCCAATGTTTTCCCCCAATCTCTGCTGCTTGGATTGACTCATGATATATGCAGTTTCAGTCCTACTCTGTTACCATAACAGAGACAATCCGTTCCCAGATGGAATTATAATCACAGGCAATTCTAGGGACACAGTTCAGTCCAGAAGAGCTAGTTTTTCAGGATCAGGTCATCAGACTGGTTTCCGAGGTACCTCCAGATGGGCTCGAACCTCTCACCTTGCATTTTAGCAGGTGAGCACACGGCCATTTATACCACCCAAGCATTCCAAGGCAAAATTGGTGCTCAGCTGAAGATTCCTAGAAGACCCCTGTGTGACAGACTAGAGCTGCCCTATAGGTATTTCTTGGCCATAAACTTTATGGGAGCAGGTAGCCAGCTCTTTCTCTCACAGAGTTGTGGGGTGGATTCAAACCACTAACTTTTCAATTATAGTAAAGCATTTAACTGGTGTATCACCAGGGCTCCCTAATACAAAATTTCATACCAAACACACTGTCATCAGTAGATGCTGACTTGTTGCAGCCCTAGAAGACAGAATGGAATGGCCCCAAAGAGTTTCCCAGACTGCAAAGGTACAGAAATGGATGGCTGAATCTGTCTCTCACAGAATGCATGGTGCTTTTGAAGCACCAGTTTTTTTGGTTAGCCTCTGAATGTTTTAACCACAGCACCACCAGGGCTCATCATACAAATCTAGGTATATGCAGAAGTGGTTTTAATTAGAAGTGAATATATCTTTAGAAAGCTAGTGGCTGCTCTAATGCCAAGGGAGGAAGTGTGCCAAGAGGGGTATTGTGACAGAGGAAGTTAGCATGAATGGCAAGAGACAGTGGCTTTAATTATTGTGATTAAAATACTTAATACTTTTTGCAAAAATAGATGGCCATGTAAACATGATAATAGGGCCTTCCCACACTACTCAGGGCTTGTACAAGTGAGGAGCCTCGGAACTGAAGCTTTGTTAGCTTCACATAAGTCCACCTTTGTGGAGGCTGGGACGTCTAGCAGTTGTCTCACTCCTGTCTGGGATGCTCCCACCCAGAGCGCCTGGCTTTGCTCCTCTCAAGATTTCAAAGCATTCTGACTCCTAGGCTAGCGCTCTGTATTCCAGTGCAGACACTTTTTATATAAAGACTCCATATATTCTTATTTTAAGTAAGTCTCAGTGATTAATAAAGTAAAATGATTCTATAGAAGAGAGCCAAAATCATTCTCTTGTGGTTAGTTGCTGTGAATCACCTTGACTCAAGGTCACCCTGTGTGTACACAGAGTAGGATTTGCTTCATTTCAAGGCACTTGGTGGCAGATATCTTACTTCCGAGATGCCTGTGAATGGGTTTGATCCACCAGCCTTTTAGTTAATAGTCCAGCAATTAACCATTTGTGACACCAGGAATGTTTCCAAGATCACCAAGTCTTTGGACTCCTGGGCTGGGGTTGTCAGTGGCTCAAGGTTTGGATATTTTGCAAGGTAAGTAATATAACACAGTGAATCTTCATAGTATGGTGGTGGTGTTGATTGCCTTCGAGTCGAGCACGACTTGTACCAACAATATGAATAAAAGGCCTGAAGCCCCCCTACAACTACTGACACTTATGGAAATTCATAGAGTTTCTGGAGGCATGTTATTTAGGAAATGGATGCCACTCCTGCTTCAGAGTAGGGTTTTATGTCATTATTATTTTTCATTCTAATTCTTTAATGTCACATTTCTACAGGGTTGAACTAAAAATGTATGACATAGCTAAAGTCAACCTTGACAATATATAGTAGAGCTTGTATTGAGTTTACATAAATAGAAAGTGTTTGAGAGAAGGGATTCCCTTCTTATTTGATAAGCATTGATTTAACCCCAGTTACTGTCAGGCCCAGGGGCAGGTGTTTGAGATTCAAAGATGAACCAGGTATAATTATATCCTCAAGAAACTCACAGTCCCTGGAGACTTTGATGAAGAAGCAGATGGATTCTGCCTCACTGGTCAGCACGGAGCTGGGGAGTCTGTAGAGAAGGGCCACCTGACTAGAAGTAGGCACACAGGGAACGTCTCTCAGAGGGAGTGATCAGAGCAGAACCCGGAAAGAAGAAAACAATTAGAAAGGCTCAGGAGGGTGTTTCTTTGGGCACTGAGATGCAGCTTGCATCAAGATTCCATATCCTGTTTTTTTTGCTTTCTGCTTATAAAATTATTTTCAGAATTCTCCTATGTGATCTCGGGCTGTGTCTTAGCCACATCTTCCTGCAGCTGTGATTGGCTCATAACAAGTACCTTGCAAATGTTTGTCAAATAGAGGATGGATGGATGGAGAAGCTGTGCTCACATACTGACCCCCTTACCCCCTAGGTGACTGTCGACTCGCAGCCAGTGTGGCCTCCTGTGAGCAGGTATGGGTTCAGAATTGAGGACACGGGCCACATGTACGTGATCCAGACGCCTGCACACATCCAGATCCAGTGGCTGCACAGCTCAGGACTCATGATCCTGGAGGCCAGTAAAGCCAGCGAGGTCCAGGGCCGAGGCCTGTGTGGTGAGGTGGGGCCCAGCTGGGGGGAGGGGCATTTCCCAAGTCCACCTTGGCCTCCTGGCACAAGTCACCCAGAGAAGACTGGGACAGAATGCCAGACCAGAAAGTAAGACTCCCAGGGCTGCCAGAGCAGGGAGGCCTAGCATCTTGTGTCCTAGGCCAGCGGGGAAATGGTGCAGGCTCTGGCTTCAGCCAGTTGTCACCTCAGCAGGGATTGTCAGTCAGCTTCCTGACAACCTCCTAAAGCCAGATAATCCTTCCCGTCTGCATGTGCCTGGGCACTTCACAAAGTACTTCCACTCTCTGATCTCACTTGTTCCAGGTCATCTACATAGCAGTTTTGAGAGGTAGCCATTAGTATTCCCATTGAACTGAAGAAGAAAGGGGGCTCAGAGAGGTTAAGTAGCTTACCTAAAGTCACACAGCAGAGCTGCCACAACACATAGGACCTACACGTTCTGACCATAGCGTGAGTGATAGGAGCATATCCCAAGGGTCCGGTTGTGTTTTGATAGGAAAAAGGGGTACCCAAGGAGTCTGGAGGAGCCTCCTGTTCCTTACAGGAGCACAGTACTTAGGTGCCCACAAGGCACTCAAAACAGACTGCCCTGGTTGTGATGCTAGGTGGCACAGAAAAAAACAACGTAGAGGAAGATGTGGATTTGAGGAACTAGCAGCTCCAGGACAGGAGCAAGCCTGAGGGAGACCCCAGAACGATGCAGGAGTCTGCGCAGTGTAGGTAGGGCAAGATGAAGGCAGCCCTGAGAGAAGTGTGTCTGGAGAAAGATGACACTTTTAGGTTACCTTGTGTGTTGGAATGTATAAAGAGGTAAAAAAAAAACCCAGCCAACTTTCACCAAAGAATTTGAGGCCAAAGTAATGAAAGGGATAGAAAACGAAACCAACAACCTCCATTTCTATAGCAGAAAATCAGTAAGTAACACCTAGATATGAAAAAAAAGAAATATCAAGAGAGACCAGCCTCAGCATGTTGTGTAGAAATACAGGGGCAATCACAGAAGAAAAGACCTTGAAGGCCCTGCCTTTGGGAGTGGAAATCACAGGTGGGTAAAGATGGGCCGTGAGATTGCTGGGTTTCACTACAAGACCTGTAAATCTTGTTTATGAACTACGTATATAACTTTGAGAAAAAAATGAGTAAATAAAGTGATTAAAAGGAAACATAACACGAGCACATCCTCCACTATACCCACTGTGTGCTTTCACCCTCATACCTCTGCACTAAAAATATTCTCTGAATTCACACACTGGCACATGGAAGTCTACGCTAGGTTCATCCTTTCATTTTGCTGCAATGAATACTTCTATATATTCATCACTGGGATTGGAAGACAGCAAAACAGAGAAAGTCCTGGCCTCAGGGAATATCCCTTTTGCCTCATGCAGACATCTCTCCTTACACACACCAACCACCTTCCTTTTCTCATCATTCCTTTCTACTGGGATAGAGCGCTGTAGTCAGCAGTAACCGGGAGCCAGGTCCTCCCTGTGATACTTTGTTACTGCCACAGGACCTCAAAGCCAAGGCCAAAAGGCTGGTCCTTGCGATCATTGATAAAATTTGAGGATTTCTTACTTAATCATGCTTTATGCTGGTAGGAGTGGTGCTTGATGTTGTCAGAAGAGAAGCCAATTCATTTCTATTTCTGTCTATCCAAATTAACATCTGGTATCCTGGGCACATTGCTACAAACCTTAGGAAATGATGAGATCAATGATGAGATCTCTGAGGGCAGTCCTTGCCCTGTTTCTGAATGACAGAGATGTAAACCAGCAACTGTCATACAGAATGAGGAAGGCTGTGGATGGGTGCACCCGAGGCGACATTAGAGGAAGGACTTCTGAAAAGGCATTTCAGGGAGAGAATGCAGCGTAAGCAAAGACACAGCCAGAGAAATGTGCATTTGGAGCGTAGAGTATATAAGACGGTGAGGTAAGCCGTGAAGTCAGAAGTAGTTGTTACGCCAGACAAGCTTCACCCTGTGCCTACTTTTCAGTTCCTTAACACATCAGTTTCTTTCTTACCCTTCTAAAGTCACTCACCTACAAAACTAATATAAGGAAATCTATTATGTCTTTCCCAGGTTTAGTAATTGTTTCCATTTTGCCGCATTTATGCATCTCTATTAAGTGTATTTCTGTATACCTACACATCCACACACATTCAGATTTTCTTTATGTAGATGTGATTATATCTCTGCATTTTCATGAACTGTTTGTGAGTAAATGTGAAATGTGTTCCTTTACTCCCATGTCATAATGGGACTTTTCTATGAACAAAGACATTTTCTTACGCCACAGGTTTCCTAGTTTCTCAGTGCCTCACTTCCCTGGTCTATCAAGCGGGGAAATTGCTAATGAATTGTGAGGAGTCCACAGAGTGAGCGCTGACTGGGAGCTGTGGCGACTGCGTGACTGTCAGGACCATCCTGCCCATTCCAGGTATCTGTGATGGGGATGCAGCTGATGACCTCACCCTGGAGGACGGCTCTGTGCTGGGCAGCGCCGAGGACCCAGCTCCCTTTCTGGACAGCTGGCAGGTGCCCAGCTCCCTGACCTCGGAGGGCCAGACCCGCTTCCGCCCGGACAGCTGCGACACAGCGGACTGCTCGCCCTGCCTGCGAATGGTGTCCAACCGCACCTTCAGCGAGTGTCACCGCTTTGTACGTGCCCGTGAGGTCCTGCGTGGGGGGAGACCTTCAGGGTTGGGCGTGACAGGGCCTACAGTGGCCAGGTCAAGGAGGTGCTGGTCTGGGTGAGGCCACAGAGGTGTCACCCTCAGGGCTAGATTGGGAGCTTGGTTCCCTCTGGGCTGGGTGGGAGAGGAGGAGAGGGACCCTTGTGCCTGCCCTTGTGCCCAGGTGCCTCCGGAGTCCTTCTGTGAGCTGTGGATCCGGGACACCAAGTACGTGCAGCAGCCCTGCGTGGCTCTGACTGTGTACGTGGCGATGTGCCACAAGTTCCACGTGTGCATTGAGTGGCGGCGCTCTGATTATTGCCGTAAGTGCGGGCTGAGGTGAGGGGCTCTCCTCCTTGTTTCCCTGACACCTCCTTCCTGGTAGAGTAAAAAAGGCCCACAGCCCTTAGGTCAAGGCCCAGCTTTTGGAGGTTAATGATATGCTCAGGAGTGCAATCATATTTATGAATTAGATTGCAATAAAATTACAAACCATTCCAGAAGCTTTACTGTCATTTACATTAATAAATAGAATAAGTATTGTTTCTTGTTGTCGTGTGCTGTCGAGTCGAAAGTGACTTGACCCTCTAGTGAGTAAATCCCATGGCGAGATTGCCTGTCTTTCTCCTGTGGAGCAGCTGGTGAACTTGAACTGCATGCCTTTGAGTTGGCAGCACTATTAGTTACCATTAAGTCACCAAGGCTCTCTTATTACTTATAGTTTGTTGTTCTTGTTCTTGTTGTTATGTGCCATCTAGTTGCTTGCGACTCATAGCGACCCTATGTACAAGAGCCCTGAATGCCCTTCTATCCTGTGCCAACCTTGCCGTCTCAAACACACTCATTCCCACCACGCCACTCACAAAATCGACCCATCTCATCAAGGTTCTTCCTCTCCTGCGCTGTCCCTCCACTCTCCCAAACATGATGTCCCTCTCCAAGGACCAGTCCCTCCTTGCAACATGCCCAAAGTATGTCAGCAAACACTATTAGTTATAGTTTATTGATTTAATTTATCTGACTTGTTTTTCCTTACCTCTAAAGTGGAACAACAGTTCTTGTTCCCTTCTAGGATAAGCTCATAGCTGACTCTCCAGCAGGTTTTCAGAGGTAGTAAATGGCACAGGTTTGGAAGCAGGAGTGTCCTCCACTTCCTAAACAACATGGCTCCGGAAACTATGAATTTCGATAAATGTCAATAGTTGTAGAGGGGCTTCAGTCCTTTAGTTCATAGGGTCGCTATGAGTCATGCTCGACTTGAAGGCAGTCAACAACAACAAATGGCACAGGAGGAGACTGCCCATCCTTCTCCTGCAGAGCAACTAGTGGATTTGAACTGCATGTCTCTGGGTTTGCAGCACAATTTCTTACCACTAGGCCATCAGAACTCATGAATTCCTTTCTCTTAATGCTTACTTCTCTTTCTCTCTTTTTGAGCTTGCCCCTCATTCCTAGAGGATGAGAGTGATGTCCTTTCGTCTCTCTTCTTTCTGTTAAATTTGTGTTTGTGGGGTTGGCTGGGGTGGGAAGGGCTCGAGAAGTTTGATTTGTTAAAGGTGAACACATTCAGAAAAAGCAAGAGGCAGCTCACAGGAAGATCACACCTAGAATGTGACAGATAAAACATGGAAGTCGTGCAAGTAGGATTTTCAGAGCTGTCAATCTGACTGAGCCAGGAAATAAATATTGAGGGTCAATAATCAGCATTTTATAAATACAGATATCAATGTAGAAAAGAACATATCTATGTGTACCACATATAAGAATATGAACTATTATTATGTGAAAGTGAAACTATTATTATACTTCAATTTATCAGTGGTTCTCAATGCTGGCTTCCCTTTGAAATCACCCTGGAAGTTTCCAAAAATATTCGTATTTGGGCCATGTAACCAAAGATCTTGATTCAGTGGATTTTTTGTGATCAGGTTTGATTTCTGAAGTTATACTTGCATGTCTGTATTGAATCTTAATGTAAAATGTAATTTTTAATAGTTAATACAGTTTAAAATGCACAGATTTAGAACAAAAACTGGCCAACTATTTTGTGAATGATTACATACTGTATATATGAGGCTTTGAAAGCAATATAATCTGTCACAGTTATACAATGCCGCCATTGTAGATTGAAAGCAGTAGAGGACAATGTGTAAACAAATGTGCCAAGAAAACTTTATTTCCAAAAGCAGGTGGCAGATTGGACTTGGCCTCTAAGATGTACTTTGCTGACTCTTGATCTAGAGGAGGGAGGCAGTGAGACCCAACCCTCAGTCTAAGTGGTGCCCATCACTGCTGTGTGTACCAACAATGCTCTGAGGGCCTCCCCTCCCCTTCCTGCTCTCTTGGTCTTGAGTTTGCTCTGATGCCCTTGCACTGGTAGCATGACTCATTACCTGTGTTCCTGTGTCCCTGCAGCCTTCCTGTGCTCCAGTGACTCCACATACCAGGCGTGTGTGGCAGCCTGTGAACCTCCAGACACCTGCCAGGATGGGATGCTGGGCCCACTGGACCCAGAGCAGTGCCAAGTGCTGGGTGAGGGCTGTGTCTGCTCTGAGGGTACCATCTTGCACCGGCGCCATTCTGCAGTCTGCATACCAGAGGAGAAGTGTGGTAGGTCCCACTTCACTGGGCTGTGCTCCCAAAAGCTGACATTAGAGACCCTAGAATAAGCCCCAGGGTCTTTATACACTCCTGTGTCCATGGTCAGGGCCAATGTGCTCCTTTGGGTTTACTTTATGTCTGATCAGTGTCCTTAAGAAAGTCTGTACTGGATGAGTCTTACCCACCTTTCTAAGTATACTATCCCCTTTTTACCGCTGCAGCCTGCACTGACAGTGCAGGGGTGCCACGAGCCTTGGGGGAGACCTGGAACAGCTCGCTTAGTGGCTGCTGCCAGCACCAGTGCAAAGCTCCAGACACCATTATCCCTGTGGACCTGGACTGCCCGGGTCCCCGTCCTGAGAGCTGCCCACGTTTTGGGGAGGTGGCCCTGCTCCGGCCCACTGAGGATCCCTGCTGCCTGGGGGCTGTTTGTGGTGAGTTCTTTTTGTATCCTTGAGCCTCAGCTGTAAGATGAGGTTGTACACTCCAGCTCTGCCCACTGGCTGAATGGATGGGACAAGACTTTAAGAATCTGAAGTGTTCAGTGGAGTGTACATTGCGGGGCATGTAAAACCCTTGTCCGAGTGCAGGAACTATGGGTTACAAGTTGTCTTAGTTAGCTAGTGCTGCTATAACAGAAATACCACAAGTCAATAGCTTTAACAACTGGAAATTTATTCTATCACAGTTTAAGAGGCTTCCTTCTTGGTGATAAGAAGACATAGGTAAACCTATCTTTGTTAATCTGTTTAATCTCTTTTACATCTAAAAAGGAATTGACTCAAAATACAATTTAATCTTATAGATTGTATCCTGTCTCATTAATATAGCTAATTTTACCTCATTAACATCATAGTGGTTGTTTACAACACAGAGAATAATTACATCAGATCACAAAATGAAGGATAATTACATACTGCTGAGAGCATTGCCTAGCCAAGATGAGACTTTTTTTGGGCGACAATTTAATCTATAGCAGATTATTTGACAAGCTAAGGTTTATATTTTGACAGTTTAGGAGGCTTGAAGTTTGAATTTATGGCACCAGCTCTGGACAGGGCTTTTCTCTCTGTCAGTTCTAGTACAGGGTCCTTGTCCCCTTTTAATATCTCTGGATTTCATTGATCTCCATGTGTCTTGACATTGATCTTCCCCTGGGTCTAAGAGGTCTCAGTTGTACTAACATTCATCTTCTCTGCTCCTTTCTTTTTCCTTCTATATCTTGTAAGATAAAAGGTGATGTCACCACACCTCAGGGAAATGTTGGCTCAGGGCTGTGACCTGAGTAGAGTTGTTGCATTCTACCCTAATCCTCTTATATTTGATTGGCTGATCACATCAGATCACAACATGAGGGACAATTTACATCATTATGTAACTGTCAAATTACATCATTCCATAACTTCCAGGCCACTGAGAATCATGGCCCAGCCTAGGTGACATAGTTGAGGTGGGGCACACACATGTAATTCAACCCATGACATGAGTCAATATGGAGTCGTGGTTAAAGGCCCGGATGCTGCGACCAGTCAGCTGGGTGGACTCTTACTCCTCTTCTTGTAGTGACGTGACCTCTGGAAAATCATTAAACAACTTCTGAGTCTAAGTTGATTCCCTTGCAACATGAAACATGTGGATAATAGTAGTACCTATGTTTTGGGTTATTGTAAGAATAACGTAAGTTAACACTGATTAGGAACGGGTATATCTACATGAATATTAGCTCTTCTGTTCTGCCCTGGACCCTCTGGGTAACATTCAGAGGTCTGGGGGCTTGTGGAATAATGAGGGTCAGGTGTCTGGCAGTGCAGGAGGCCTGGAGTCACCCTAACCTCCAGGTGACAGGCCCTATGCCCCTTGGGCCAGTGTGCAACCAGAGTCTGTGTGAGGGTCTCACCCCAACCTGCCGCCCAGGACACCGGCTGCTCACCCACTTCCAAGAGGACTCCTGCTGCCCCAGCTACAGCTGTGGTGAGACCTGGGGTGGGATGGAGTGGGGGGAGCGTAGTACTCTCTGGCGTGGTGTGGGGAGCCCTGCAGCTCATTCACCCAGGGTAGGGTGAGTTGGCACCCGCGGGAGCCTGGAGCAGGGCTGATGCGTGGGGGGAGCAGGACTGGTCCCTGGGGAGGGGTTTTAAGTCAGGATAGGGAAGACATCTCTGTCCACGGGATTCTAGGGAGAGATGAGGCAGAGCTATTGGAGGATCCAAGCATGGTCACGTAGGCTCTTCTTCCAACCCCTAAACTCTGTTGGTTTTCTCCCCTAGAATGTGATCCAGACCAATGTGAGGTGGTGCTGATCCCCAGCTGCCGCCAGGACCAGATCCTGATTGCGGGCCGCCTGGGGGACTCCTGCTGCACCTCCTATTTCTGCGGTGGGTGGACATTGCCATCAGCCAGCCCCAGGCAGCAAGCACCCCCACCATTCCCACCTCCTCCCTTACCCTGCTTCCTTGGGGTGCTGGGAAGAAAGAGGGGGAGTGTTCCAAATTCTGACTCCAGGACAAGTCAGATAAGACCAGGGACCTGCTGTCACTAGTTTTGCTCTTATTGTCACGTGGGGTTCATTGTGGAGTCTCTGCCAACCCCAGCATCCTGCTCTGTACAAAGCCCTTCACAAGGGGAACTGCTCGTGACAGCAGTGACCTCTCGTCTCTCCAGCCTGCGGCGACTGTCCAGATCCGATCCCTGAGTGTCAGGAAGGGGAGGCGCTCACTGTGGACAGGAACACCACGGAGCTGTGCTGCCCTCTGTACCAGTGTGGTAAGTTGTGGATGAGCTCACAGCGGACCTCCAACTCTGCTGAATCCCTTCACAGAACCAAGGGGAGCTGATCAGGGAGTGACAGGGAGCCCATGGTGCACAACCCCAAAGCGCAGAGAAGCCTAAACCGTCATGGACTCAGGCCCTCATGAGAAAGCTGGGCCCGGTTGCAGGAGGTGCATGGTGGAGGGTCCAGGTATCGATACAAATGACTCTGTGGCTTCAGAAAGTGTTTCACTGTCAGCTTCATGAAGACCCCAAGGTCCAGGCGGAGGCCTCGGTGGAGGGAGAGATGCTTAGATCCTCCCAGCCCCCACCAGCACTGGCATGCAATCCTTAAGGGATGACTGACCTCAGATCGCTGCTCCACAATTCCTTTCCTACTGTGTTACCCTAGGTCCTGCTCATGGGGTCTTTTCTCCAGAAGGGCTGCATTTTGAGGCCTCTCATGCTCTTTTATTTTGCCCTGATAAATAAAAAGGGATATTTTAAAAAATATTTTTACAAGATGCTTAAACATAGTATAGACAGAATTATGGACTTGAAGTAAATCTCCCCACCTGTCTGCCCATTTGTCTCAAATACTTGGAGAATATTGCTAGGAAAGCCTATTCCTTGGAAAGGAATATCATGCTTGGATAGATGGAGGGTCAGTGAGAGAGAAGACCCTCAACGAGATGGGCTGACACAGTGACTGCAGTGATGGACTCAAGTGTGTCAGAGATGCGGATGGTACGGGTTAGGACAGGGTTCAGGCCTGGTGTTCATACGGTCGCTATGAGTCGTCCTCACCTCAATGGCACCTAACAACAACATCTGCCCTTTGTGGTCAAGTTGATTCCAACACCTCGTGGCCCTGTAAGGTAGAGTAGGCCTGCACCACAGCACTTCCAAGGCTCACTGAAGCAGGCGGCCTCGTCTTTCCCACAAGGTGGTCAATGTATTTGAATAACCAATCTTTTGACTAGCAACTGAGCACTTATCCAGACTCCCAAAGTAAATCTAATGATCCAAATTAAGAAAATTATTAACTTTAAGTCTGACGCAGTTAGAAAAGTTGCTGTGCACAGTTTATAGAACGAAAACCCCTGTGAGCCTCACTTTGCAGTGAGTAATACAAAAATACAAAACTACAAATAAATCGAAGAAAGTAAAAATACCTTCTTCCTTCTTGTTGTTGTTCATTGCCGTCGACTTTGGACTGACTCATAGCTGACACTCCAGTAGGTTTTCAGAGGCTGTGAATTGCACAGAAGGAGATTTTCCATCTTTTTCCAGTGAAACAGCTGGTGGATTTGAACCACCTGTCTTTGGATTAGCAGCACAACTTCCTACGCCCTAGACAACCAGAGTCCTACCACAACATCTCTCTATAAGTCGTGTGTGTGTGTGTGTGTGTGTGTGTGTGTGTGTGTGTGAGAGAGAGAGAGAGATAAAAATCCAAGCCTGCTCTCTGACCATACACCCTTTGAGTTTTCTGTTTTCAGTTAATGATTTTCACTTTTCCAAGTCAATACATTTTCAGTTCATCTGTTATCCAGTCCATGTTTGTACTAGTTTGTCCAATCCAACTGAGAACATACATCATAATTTTTTTTTAAATTTCACATAGATCCCCTTTTCTCTGTAACTCCCAATTGTAATGTCTGGACTGTGGTCTTCCTGAAAGCCCCACCTCTGGACAGGTCCAGGTGACTTCTTTAGGAGTAGTTGACATGATTTCACTATGCTCTATGTTTTCTGTGAACTGGATGGTAAGTTTGGTGAATTCAAGTTGAAAGATGTGTCTAGATGTGTTTGAGCCACATAGATGTCATCCTGTCAGAAGACACGCACTGTGTGGTTGAGCCCCATGTAGTACAGGGTCTCTGGGGAAGAGGACAGGCAGGGACAGAAGCAGAAGGGAGGGAGGAGAGGCTCTGGCACTGGGCACCGGTGTTAATGTTGGCCCTGGATTAGTGTGTTGACAGTCTGATCCCTCCATCTATGTTTACATTTTTTCCTCTTTGAACCAGAAGGCAACCTGCTATTTTGACTCTGTACAAATGGCCAGCTCCACTCTACTGCTCAATAGTTTATTGTTGTTGCTGTTGTTGTTAAATGCCGTAGAGTTGTAGACGACTCATAGTGACCCTATGAATGAGAGACCTGAACACTTTGTATAACTTTCATTGTTTCTCCACATTCATAGAGTTTCCAGAGGCAAGCCATTTCAGAAGTGGATGCCACTCCTGCTTCCAAGCTTGTTTTAATCAGGGAGCTCCACCAAACACTGTCCACCATGGGTAACCATTATCACATTTGACTCATCAGTGTCACAGTGTTTAGCATCACAGAAACCGCAAGTTATCTCTGTACAGCAAATGGACAGGCCAGTTCTATACCACTCAGAAGAATGTTTGACCGAAAACAATTAAAACCAGGCCTGAGGGACACAGATTAAAGTCATCCACCTTTGGCTTGGTACCCTAACTTTCTATCCACTAGGCCAACTCAGCTCTCTCTATGTTATTATTGTTGTTCATGACCCTCAACTTCATTCCATGCCAACTTTTACAGCTTCTTTTCCCACAAAACATTATGATCAGAGTTTTCTTGCACTTTGCATTTGTCTGTTAATAAATGAGGGTGATGAGGGAAGTTGGTCTGAGGAATAAAGGTTATAGGAGCCAAATGAAGCAGGGCTGCTTGGAGTTTTTGCCTACACTGTTTCTGCAGGGTCTTAATGTGGTGTTTCCCTGTGAGGGGAAGCAGTCCCTGTCAGCAGTGCTTACAAGCCCACCCTGGTCACAGGCTTATGTCTGACCACTGCTCTCTGGGTGACAAAAATCCAGAAGAGGGAGACCCAGCCTAAAGAGTTTCAATGTTTGACTCTGTTTGGTTGTTAATATCTACCAGGTAAAGAATTCAGTTCTCCTGAAGGAGTTCTGTGGGGAGACTGGGAGAGCTCAAGAGTCCTCCCATTAACTCTAATTCAGTAGTTAGATGAGGGTATTAGAGGAGCCTAAGGAGCAGACTGATAGCTCTGGGGGAATAATACATTACATGATGGGTTGCTAACCAGAAGTTTGATGGTTGATGGTTCAAATCCACCAGAAAGAGGGGCAGTCTTCTCCTTTAAAGATTTACAACCTTGGAAATGATGAAGGGTTACCATCAGTTGGAATCAGCTCAATGGTAATGGGTTTGGGTTTTGGACCTGTGAGGAGAAGACCTCAGGTGCAGTATTAAATGTTTGGCTGCTAAGCAAAAGGCTAGAAGTTCAAGGACACTAGAGGAAATAGATTTGCCTCCAAAACCCTGTGGAGCACAGTTCTCCAGTGACACTCACTGGGCCATCATAAGGCAGAGGCGTCTGGACCACAGTTGATTTGGGTTTTTTTAAGGAGAAGCTGGAGAGTACCCTTTCTTTACCCATGTTTATTTCTGAGGACTCACCTCTGAAGTGTTTCTTGTCTTCCCTCCCTCACAGTGTGTGAGAACTTCCGCTGCCCCCACGTGCAGTGTGGCCTGGGTACAACCCTGGTGGAGGTGTGGAGCCCAGACCGGTGCTGCCCATACAAGTCCTGTGGTAAGTCTCAGGACATGATACTGCCCCCAAATGAAGGCTGCAGATCCAGGCTGAGCCCCTGCTGTAGTGAGGGTGGGTGGGGTGGGGTGGGGCAGGGAAGCAGGCCCCACCTATGCCAAACTTCCTCCGCTCAAACATCTAGGGTCACCAGAGGGAAGGTCGTGGCTGCCTGTCTCTCACCTGCAACCACATCCACTGTTGGAGTGCGAAGCGTTCCTATGCTCTTTTCTCCTGAGGATAAAATAAGGGCACAAGAACATTTCTTGTTCCTAAAAAAAAAAAAGGTTCCTTCTTTTAAAAGGCTTTAATGCAATTGTCTCATATCAAACAGAATTTTTGCTAAAATTTACCTCAAACTCTTTTGGGAAGCAGGTGGGAGCATCAGTTATCATTAATGAAAGCCAGTGAGTTCTGTATAAAATACTGTTTTTAAAAAGGTGCAAAACTCTATTTTGCATCTGGATATTTTTCTTGTCTTTTTCAGGGCCTTGTTGGTATGTAAACTTCATGAAGGCAGGGGCTTTGGTCTCTTTAATTTGTGTTGTATCTGTAGAGCACAGAACACGGTTCAGTATAGAGTAGGTGCTGAAAGCTATTTGTACTTGAAGGAGTGACTCAGAGGAGTAATCAGAATCACACTTAACCTTGACCTTCTTGGTCCTGATTAATTGGCATACATCTTAATGGTGTCCCAGCAGTCACCTCAAGCACAGGTGAGAACAGGACCTGGCCAGGGTTAGACTTAGCATAGCAACACCGAGCTTGCAGGAATGGACATTCGGGAAATTCAGTTGTTTAGAAGTTTCTCCCTGGCCAATATATTCTTGGAGAAACTCCACATATGTTCTAGAAGGGCCACAGCGGAGGAGAGGAATAACTCAGATGACAGAAGAGAACCTGTGAATGATTTGCCTGTCTATTTGTGCTCTTTTCCTATCTGGGTGGGAAGCTTGGTGCTTGAGACCTACCCAGCCAGCCAGGGGTCTGCAGCTCTCACTGAAGCATGGGAGGAGGCTCAGATTTTGGCTTCTCCTCCTCCCTCGCTCTGGGCTGGGGCTGACTCTGTCTCAGAGAAGGGGCTGCCCCTGCAGTGAGGGCTCTAGAAGGCCCAGAGGACCTCCACCTGGACATATCTGGTGAGGTGGGTCCTGACCTCTCCTGTTTTTCAGAGTGTGACTGCGACACAATCCCGGTGCCCCAGTGCCATCTGGTAAGGAGACCGACCCCTTTCCTCTCCACCTTGACTTTCCTCCCCAGAGACACTGTTCCCTTGATCTAGGCAGAGAGCCCGTGTTTGCAGGGAGAGTGTTCTTGTTCCATGTTTTCCACTGACTTTCTCAGCAATGTCCTCCACTGTAAAGTCAGCATGAGCCTTCTTCAGAGTGTGGGAGGGGTAGGCACATGAGGATGATGAAGATAATCACTCAGATGGTGGTGGAGGTGCCAGTGAAGACAATAACCATGAAGCTCAAAACCCACCCCCACCCCACTGCTGTCAAGGTGATTCTGACTCATGATGGTCCTTCAACAGATTTCTGAGGCTGTGTTTCTTAACAGGAGCAGACTGACTCATCTTTCTCCCAACAAGTGGCTAGTGGATTTGAACTGCTGACCTTTGACCTTTTGGACAGCAGTCCAACACATTGAGAGCTAACTGCCTATTGGGACTGTCTCTAAGATATTTGTTGTGTGTGTTATCACATTAACTCTCATGACAACCCTGTGAGTTACCTCAATTATACAAATGAAGTTCAGATTATCAAAATAGTAAATCACAGTCAAGATTTGAAACCAGAAAATCTGACTCCAGAGATCATGGCCCCTTAACCAAGCTGTGTAGCCACTGGAATTGCTGGGAACTTTTTTAGCCTATGCTGATTGTATGTGACCATATATGACAAGGGTATAATTGCCCATAATGAGCCCGGGTGGTATAGCTTATAATGTGTTGAGCTGCTAGCTAAAAGATTAGCAGCTTGAATCCACAAGCAATTCTTTAGTATGAAGACAGGCAGACTCCTCGCATAAAGATTTATGACCTTGGAAGCCCAAACAAAATTGAGCTTTGGTGGCTTAGTTATAAGAAGCTGTGCTGTTAATGCAAAGGTGCACAGTTTGAATTCACCAGTGGTTCTGCAGGGAGAAAAATGGGCAATTTCTTCTTTTGTGATTAAATTGCCTATGAAAACCTGCTATGAGTCAGTTCCAACTTGATGACACATAATAATATATTTACCATCAAGTTGAAACCATAGCTGACCCTCCAGCTATGGTTTTCAGTGGCAGTTCATTGCAGAGCAGCTGGTGGCCTTGAACCACATGCTTTCAGGATTGCAGTGCAGCTTCTTGCCACTAGCCACCAGAGCTCCCCTACACACACACACACACACACACACACACACACGTGTACGTACGTATGTGCCATATAATTTCTTAGCTCCTAGGCTGTAATCTTTGTTGCATTCTCATTGATGTGGCCAATGTGCACTCAGGATGAAGGGAGAGGCTTGAGGCCCTCAGAGAGGAAGGACATCAAGAGGTACTCCCAGTGGGAAGGCTTGAGAGCCATAATGAGCATTTCCCTGATGGCCTTGTTTCTTGGCGGGAGGGTGTCTGAGCTTGTAGGGTGCAAAGGACCCCCAAGCTTGGCAGCCCTGCTGTCATCAGTGCTAGGAGGTGACAGACATAGACATGGGCCCAGGCTGCAGATGGACCCTGATGGTGGGGCCAGGCCTCCCCACCGAGATGCTGACTGCCTCTATCCCACCCAGTGGGAGAAGTCCCAGCTGGACGAGGTATTCATGCACAGTGAGGAGAACGTGTGTGGCTGTGCCAAGTATGAGTGCGGTAAGTGGGGCCGGCGAGCCATGGGTGGGCCAGCAGGCTTGGGCAAGTGTAGGGGCTGGGACCTCCGTGACTACTGCCACCCTGAATGCCTCTCCAGTGAAAGCCCCTGTGTGCCTGAGTCGTGATCTGGGCGTGATGCAACCAGGCCAGACGGTGGTGGAGCTCTCAGCAGACGGTGTGTGCCACACCTCCCGCTGCACTGACATCCTCGACCCCCTCACCAGCTTCTACCAGATCAACACCACCTCCGTGCTGTGCGATGTCCGCTGCGAGGCGGTAGGGTGCAGCCTGGGATGGGGCTGGGATGGGTGGCTTCTCTTGATGGCTGTAAGGCTCATCTAGGGGTTAGAGGATTCAGCCAGGGGCCTGTGTTCTCTGGGATCTCCAGAAAGGTACAAGGAGTTGCCATTAGAGGGAATCTCAGAGATCTCAGTAGAAAGTTCCAGAAAAGGGCCAGGCTAGGAAAGACTGGGAAACAAACAGCAAGAATGAAGGCACAAATTTAAGACATGGAAAGAGTGCATAGTTGACAGGGGACACACTTTTATTAAGCACCTACTCCATGCCTTACACATTCCCTCTCCTTTCAGTTTGTGTGTTTATGTTGCTACTATTTGTTGTGAAATTTGACATGCTCAGTACTTAGGACAGTGATTGGCTTATAGTAAAGCTCAACAACTAGTAGTTGAATGAAAGAATAAATGGTAACAGAGATATGCATTTAAAAAAACACAAGAGAATAAATGAGTTTTGTAGATGAAATGGTAAAGCTTAGAGAAGCTCAGGTTTTATGTCAAGTGCTATAGGAAGTGGGACTTAAAGTGAGGTCTGGCTGGAAGCAAACCTTGTATTTCAAACACTAGACATGCTTCCTCTTGAGTGGTAGAGATGTTTTTGGTTGCCAGGAGCTGGGTGCAGCAGCAGCAGCAGTACGAGAGGCTAGGGGACATCCTTCTTGTCTGGATAGAAGGAGGCTGGGGTTCACACCCTTCAAGGAAATAGTGAAAGAGGCAGGAGAGTGGAAGGGCCAGGTGGGCACATGGCTGATGACCATCTTCCCTCCCTGCCCTGCAGAACCAGGAGTACGAGCACCCACGGGACCTGGCGGCCTGCTGCGGCTCCTGCAGGAATGTGTCCTGTATCTTTACCTTCCCCAACGGCACCACATCACTGTTCTTGGTAAGCAGCCCTTTAAATGCCCACCTGGGAAGAAGTCCCTGAAGGTGAAATTGAGGCTCCCGGGATTTAGGCACACCCACGAGCAGGGCCCGCTCTGGTTCTGGTCAGGGCTGGCAACAGCTGGGCTCTTGGCAGTGTCAGGTCCTGAGCTTCACCTGTCCTCAGAACCATGCCTGGCAGTTCACTCAGGCCACCACTGGTGACTATTACCCACTCTGTGCCCTGCAGCCTGGAGCATCCTGGGTCGCAGACTGCACCCGTCACCACTGCAGCAATACTCCTCTGGGTGCTGTGCTGGTCCGCTCGCCCATCAGCTGCCCACCACTCAATGAGACCGAGTGTGCCAAGGTCAGGCCTCCCCACTCCTCTCAACACCTAGCCTTAGAGAGGGCATTGCCTTTCTTACCGGGGGAGCAGTGTTCCTGTGTGCAGGGAGATGGAAAGAGGGGTTCCCTGGAGTGTGTGCCACCCCCCGCCCCTCCAGCCCACACATCTTTCTGTACATTTTTGCTCTGACTACATCACACCCCATCCATACATACCATGTGACCACACAAAGATGCGATCACATGTATGCTGGCATGTGTTTAGACACATGCAGCTACATATTGGCACAGGGTGGCTGTCACACACACATAAACCACACACCCAACTGGGCATTTGTTCACCCAGTGTGCCAGCATCATTCCACTAGTCACACTGTGTGCACACACATGCACACCCCAGCCTGCACATGCACCACCCACATGTCCAGTCATGTGATGGGATACTGGGGGTCTGGCAGCAATCCAGAGAGCCGTCAGTGTGGGCACAGCTCAAGGAAGATTCCCTGGAAGGCTTGGGGTTATCTTTGAGTGCCTGAAGTCCTGATATTAACATTGAACATTTGTCGGTTTCTAACTCTTACCTGAAGAAAAATACATCCACCTATTCAATGATATACATATAATCACACATGTGTACACAGATCACACATATGCAAACAGAATCGTATGCATGCTTGGGAAATCATATTGTGAGCACACGCCGTGACCCACAGTCACATATATGCATACATACATACTTTTATAAATATCATGCACAGATAGATTCACACATTCAGATACACTTATTTACAAAGATTACTACATCCTTGTTTTGTCTATTTTGCAGTAGAGGCAGGGGGCTGTGAAGGATAATTGTCCCCATTTTACAGATGGGAAAACCAAGCCCAGAGGAAAGGGGTATTTGTGCAGAGTTAAGATAGAGCCTGGGCTTCTGATCCTCAGCCCCTTCCTTACTGGTTGGAGGCACTGGGGTGGTGGATGGGGGTGTTATGCAGTTAAGGACAGGAGGAGAACCCCACAGAAAAGAAGGGAAGTCCTGCACGGTCTCAGCTTGCCACCACCTCACTGGGGGCCACAGGCAGACACAGGGCTCATTGTCCCAGTCAGTGAGGTGAACCTGTCTGGATTTTCCATGTCCAGTACAGGGCCCACCCTATCCTCCCTCTGGCCAGAGGCTGGTGCAGAATAGGGTCTTGCAGTCCTGCCCTAGGGCATCATGGGACTCTTTTTTGCCTATTTGGCTCAAGGGGCTTCCACTCTCTCCTCTTCTTCTAGGTTGGGGGCTCGGTGGTGCCTTCCTTGGAAGGGTGCTGTCGGACATGTGAGTGCACATGGCTGGAGCCAGGGCGGAGAAACTCTAGAGTGGGGGGAGGGTGTCATGCCAGGGTTCAGAGACCAGCTTCCTGGCCTGGCATCTATGGTGGTGGCTCTAAGGGGTGAGTATATGAGGGATAACACCTGCCACAAGGCCAGGCCCAGACACGGAAATGCTGGCGGAGCACTCGTGTGCCTGTCCAGACATGTGATTCTGTTTCTCATTGGAGACAGAGGACCTGGGGTTCAGGGGTCAATATCTCAGCAGCCACCCTTCCCCGTTCTCCTTCTGCCAAAACCTCCAAACAAGATACCCCGTGTGAATTCCCTCTTGGCATCTTGGTCTTGGAGGTGCCCCGAGTGCCCCTCAGATCTACAGAGAACCTGTCTAGTCAGAGTGACTGCTGTGTGCCTGTCCTTATACCTTGGCCCCTGAGTCCCCACACATCCAGAGTTTGTGGCCCCCAACCACATAGACATGCACACCCCTGGCATCTGCGAGACTTCCCACATGCTCCTCAGAGCTCTTCCTAGGAGAGCTGTAGAATTTTATCCTTGTCACATCCTCCAAGAAAGCTGAACTTAGTGTGTCACTAGCTGACCTCTGACTGCTGAATTCCTATGTACTCCCATGTGGTCTGTAACGCTATCCCCTCTCCCCAGGTTCCTCGGGGACTCTGTTTCCCCTGGTCCCTGTTAGCCCCACCTCTCCTCCATGGGTTAGTGTCTACTGTCACCCAGGTACTCCTCTCAGAAGCCCACGGGTCTGGAGGTGGGCAGCTCATTGCTCAGCCCAACAAATATCCCTTCTGCTAGGTGGGCTCTGGGGGCTGGGGGGGGCAGTGCCTCTCTTCCCTGCCTCTAGCAAAAGCCAGTTAGCCAGCAGTGCATGCTGGGTAGCCAGTCGCCTCACCTGGGCTTGCATGTATGCTTCGGCAGTGCCCACTCACCTGGTGCCCACCTCTTGGCCCCCATGTTGTCATCTCTCAGCATGTCAAGGTCCAGGACACAGAGAGAGCCTCTTGGGAGTATAGAGCAGGATAAAGCAGGCATAGTTCTGGGCAGGAGTGCTCCCTGCAGGCTGGTGGGAAACCTTTGTGATGAGGCCAAGGAACCAAATGAAGAGATTCCAAATCATTTCTAGTGGGCACTGTGAGGTAACAGAGCCCATGCACCCAGCAAATCCTTATTTAACACCAGCAATGTGCCAGGCACTGTTTTAGGCAAAGGCAGACCACACTCTTAGTCCCTGTGGAGCTTATATTTGAGGGAGAGAGAATAACAAGTAAAATATATGATAGGTTGGATGCATCAAGTGTGTGTGTGTGTGTGTGTGTGTGTGTGTGAGAGAGAGAGAGAGAGAGAGAGAGAGGTGTGTAAGCTTAAGCAATCTGGAAGTGTCCTAATTAAGAAAAAGAACATATAGTTACAAATCCACATATCAGTGTGGAAGTGAATAGTTGTGTAGGATGAGAAACTAAATTCACACATTTTAGAAAGAACTTGTACAGAATAAGGGATCTAGAGCTTAATCTTCAGGCACATGGTTATAAAAGTTATTTGGATAGGAAGGTTACCTTGTGCTGGGCAAAGTGAAGGAAGTTAGGGGACAGGAAAGGAGCATGGGATGGAGGGAGAGAGTTGTGATTGCAAGAAGAGCATTAGGAGAAATTTCACTGAGGAGAGACTGAAACAAAAAGCTGAAGGAGGTGAGTGTGTGAGCGAGACCTGTGGCAGCTGTCAGAAGGAAGAACCATTCAAGTAGAAGAAACTGTTCCTGTCCCTGCAACGGCTCTGGTCCTGTGGATGGTGCAAACAATCAGCACCTTGGCTGTGAACCACAAGAAAGGTCTGGCAATAGTTTTTTTTAAAAAAAAAATCAGTCGCTGAAAGCCCGGTGGAGCAGTTTTACTCTGACACACATGAGGTTACCATGAGTTGGAGCTGACTTCGGGGTAACCGACTGGCAGCTCTGAGACAGTGAAAACCCCAGCCCCTATGACAAGTGTGGAATAGAACCTGCTATGTACGTGCATTGTACCAGGTACCCGGATTTCCACTGCTTTCAGGAAGTTGTAGTAGCTTATGCTCAAGTCTTCTCCAGGTTGGAGAGTTGAAGCTCAGAGACGGATGTGGACGCAGATGGTGTCAACAACAGGGCTTAGCTAGGTGTGGGTGCTGGGATAGGGTGGGAGCCTGGCCTCTCACCATATTCTTTTCTCACCTAGCACAGAGCCTTCAAGGCTGGCCCCACCCACCATCGGGCACCTTCCTCTGTATTTCCTGCTCAAGATGCTCTGGCTTTGTTTTCCCTGGCTCCACCTACTTCTAGGGCTTGTGGACTACAGGCTTTCCCCTGATGGGGCGGGGCACTCATGCATGGGCACTAACACCAGAAGAGGGTCCCACTGGCATAACACTAACTGCCCCAGTCTGGCCCATTCTGCTGCCCTGAGGCAGCTCGTCTGGGACACTTACTGTTTCCCTAGGTAAGGAGGACGGGCGCTCCTGCAAGAAGGTGACCATCCGCATGACCATCCGCAAGAATGACTGCAGGAGCAACACCCCTGTGCGTGGCACCTGCGTCATGGTGGGGGCTGAGGGGGAAGGTAGCCAAAGCTGGGTGGAGGGGCCTTTGGAGAGTGGGGGTTCCATAGGCTGCCTCACTGGCCTGTCCATCCTCAGGTAAACCTGGTGTCCTGTGATGGGAGGTGTCCATCCGCCAGCATCTACAACTACAACATCAACACCTACGCCCGTTTCTGCAAGTGCTGCCGGGAGGTGGGCCTGCAGCGGCGCTCTGTGCAGCTCTTCTGCGCCACCAATGCCACCTGGGTGCCCTACACCGTGCAGGAGCCCACCGACTGTGCGTGCCAGTGGTCCTGAGGTCTGGGGGCTAGCGCTGGTTTGACCACCCCTGTCACTCCCACTCTCAATTCCAGCTGACCCAGTATACATATGTGCATGGGGAGGCATTAAGGGTGGTGGATAGATGGTTGATTCTAAGCATGAATGAATGGTGGGCAGAGGCACACAGAGTGACAAGAAAGGGCCAGGGCCATACTACCCATCTTGGCTTCTTCTCTAGACTCCCCTTTCTCCCACCTGTGGGAAAGTGCCATAGCTGAGGGTCTAGGGAACTCAACTCCACCGCTGGTTATGAGGATAGCAGTATTGGTCCAAGACAGAAGCCCTGCTTATTTGTGATTCTGGCCGCAGTGGTTTGATAAAGGGTGTGAGAGCTTTCCCGAGAAGATGGGACCACAACTGGACCCAAAACCAAGCTCAGTCAGGATGCAATGACCCATTCTCTTTCTCGGACTTTTTGACAACAAGAGAGCTACAGACACAATAAAACGGAAGGGAGGGGATTTTTCCTAGCACTCAGGCTGGTGTATAGATATGCCCAGAAGGACTTCACAGAAGGTGGGTTCCCCAGACTCAGGTCATCTCATTCAGGTCTGCGAGGGTTGATGGGCATCTAGATGCCTCTTCACAGAGACTAGGTGAACTTGGTAACCTTGAAGTCATATTGTTATTGCCACAGACAGTTAGAAAATGTCTGTTTAGAAGAAAAAAACCCATTCCCAGGAACAACTCTGTGTGTGTCCGCATTCCCTTCCTAACAGGTGACTAGCTCTTGTGGGGGAGGGGATACATCTCCCCTGTGAGGATCCAGTGCAAATAATTTTAACTGTTAGTGGACGAATCTACCCCTCAAAGGGCCCTACGTTGTTTAATGGGTATCTTGACCTGGAAGTACAGTTCTTGGTCTTGCAATGTGCCTTTTCACCAACGATGTAGGAAAGCCTGTCCCAGAAAGGGCCAATTCCAGGCTGACTGCTTCACTAGACTGTTTAGTGGAAAAGCATCTGTCAATGGAAAGTACAGGCTCGGTATGTGTGTGTGTGCAGCCCCAGAGACACTGAACCAGTGTCATCTCTGAAGCCAGAACCCCATCTGCACCCTACTCTGCAGCCCTTGCCCATGTCATTCTGTGCCCCTGGGTCAAAAAGACATGCATATGAGGCTGTTCAGGCCACAGTGCTGCTCTGTGTGCCTGGAAATGTGTGGCTGCCCTAACGCCTCTTGGGATTGGGAGTTGCACCAGAATGATCGCTTAACTTTTCCTACAGGCTCTTTGCTCCTCCATCAGTGTTCTGTTTATGTATCCAATAAAACCACTGGAAGCTATCAGCCCTGAGAGTGTTTTCTTTAAACTGAGGGCATGTCACCTGTGAAGAGAAGACTTCTGTACCACCTGTGCCTTGCGCCATGCAGTTCCGTGAATGTTCAATGATTGAAATTGAACTGACTATAAATCATGGAGCAGTGCACCCAAGTGAGAAGTCAAGAATGGCTCCAAGTCTTTGAGTCCAGGGTGAATGAATGCTTCTCACCATGGATATGAGTGGGAAAGACCCTTAGAATGGAATTCTTGTTGATCTCTCAACATTTCTGTGTTTATTTCCTTGTTCTCTCACAGAAAGCTTTTGTAGCCACTGTGAACTACAAACATAGCTAAACATAAGTCAGGAAGAAATTGAGGATGGTCCTCTTACTGCTCCTTAACTTTAAAGAAAAATTTGTTAGTATCCATCCTGAGCAGAGGTTTGGGATCATTCTCTCCTGTGCACCTCATATGGAGAGGAGGAAAGAAAATTCCTGGAGTCTGAGTTGCTGCTTAAGGTGCAAGACTGCCAGTTCACCTGGAGAAAACTTATTTGAAGCTAAAATTTATTTAGAGACTTGGATTTGATGTCACAAATCAGCTTCTTTCCTCCTACTATAGGTGATCCTTGAGGCTGCCTTTTTCTGATGAGAAAGGGAATTTTATAGCATCTTATGCAGCACATGCCTAGATAAGCAAAGAGTCAAAGACGAAATAATAATGAAAATTAAGCAACATTTTGACTTGTGAGATCATTAAATTCTGGCATATTAAACTTGTATGATGTAGCTAAAGCGGTATTTAGAGGGACATTTATGTCCTTAAATGCATACTTCATACTCTTAATTTCACATCTTTGCAGCCAGATACAGAGTGAGATAGGCTTCCAAACTTCATCTTTGATTAAAATCAATGGCTTGTAATCAATCATTTCTTTAGTCACATAGCATGAGCACGCTCCCTAAATAGCTTTTGCAGAAAATTGTAATCTTGACCTCAGCAGAATACTACTTAAAATATACCTTTAAAAAGCAGTAATTTAAAGTCCTGATTCTATTATATAGGAAGAATTTTAGACAAAAACATACGATGGCTTGTTAGCCACTATTGAAATCCTAGTGTTTCTGGCTGACTAGCCAGTATAACCATCCTCCATTCCTGTGTGTTTATGTCCAAATATGAGAAGACAGCTTTTGCACTGGAAAAGTCTGCTGTCAGAGACCTCTTCAAAGTACTGAAAAGTAGTGATGTGAATCTGGATACGAAAGTGTGCCTGATACAGGCCACTTGCTCTTCATTAGAAGGCTGGACAATGACTAGGGATGATAGAAGGAGAGTTGATGCTTTTGAGCTGTGGTGCTGGAGAAGAGTATTGAATATACCATAGACTGCTAGGAGAACAAACAAGTTCATCCTGGAGAGGGTTAAACCAGGCTGCTCCTTGGAGTCAAGGATTCTGAAGCTTTGTCTGACATATTTTGGACATGTTGCAAAGTACAGATCAGTCCTTGGAGAGGGATGTCATGCTTGGGGGAGTGAGGGATAGTACAAGAGGAAGACCCTCAATGAAATGAATTGATGCACTGAGGTAATGTGGGTAGGTGTATCAGAGACAATAAGATTGGTACAGGATAGAGCAGAGTTTAGGGCTGTTGTACCTAGGGTCACTATGAGTCGCAGGTGACTTGATTGCACATGACAAAAACTCTAAGTCTACAGGCAACAGAGATTGTTTAGGGTGCTCTAGTGGCAAGAATCTGCACTGCGATCCAGAAGGCACATGGTTTGAATCCACCAGTTACTCTGCAGGAGGATGGACAATATCCTCCTGTGCAATTAACTACCTCTGAAGGACCTACGACTTAAACCAAAAACTACAAACTTCATGGCAAACTGACTGGAAGAGATCAATATTTGTTCCCATTCCAAAGAAAGGTGACCCAACAGAGTGTGGAAATTATCGAACAATATCATTGATATCACATGCGAGCAAGGTTCTGCTGAAAATTATCCAAAAATGTTTGGAACAATACGTCAACAGAAAACTGCAGATGTGCAGGCTGGATTTAGAAGAGACTGTGGTACTAGGGATATTATAGCTAATGTTAGATGGATCTTGGCAGAAAGAGAATACAAGAAGAATGTCTATCTGTGCTTCTTTGACTATGCAAAGGCTTTTGACTGTGTGGATCACAACAAGTATGGCTGACTCTGAGAAGACTGGGAGAGCAGGGGGACACTGGATGGTTCAAAATCAAGAAATGGATCTGTCAAGGGTATATTTTGTCTCCATACCTTTTCAATCTCTATACAGAACAGATCATCTGAGACGCTGGGCTGTATGAGGAGGAATGTGGCATCAGGATTGGTGGTGGAAGAATCATCAACAACCTGTGTTATGCAGATGACACAACTCTGCTTGTTGAAACTGAGGAGGACCTGAAGCGCTTGCTGCAGAAGGTCAAGGACTGCAGTCTTCAATATGGATTGAAGCTCAACATCAAGAAAACCAAGATTCTCACCACTGGGCCAATTGGCAGCATCAGTATGGATGGTGAAGAGATTGAGAGAGTTAAGTTTTTGTTTACTTGGTTCCACAGTCAACACTCTCGGTAACACAGTAACAGCAGCCAGGAAATCAGGAGATGAATTGCATTGGGAAAGTCAGCTGTGAGGGACCTCTTAAGAGCACTGAAGTGCAACGACGTCATGCTGGAGACTAACGTGTGCCTGATCCAGGCTATAGTCTTTGCAATTACGTGCTATGCATCAGAGAGTTGGACAATGAATAGGGATGATAAAAAGAGAATTGATGCCTTTGAGCTGTGGTGCTGGAGAAGAGTGTTGAATATACCATGGACTGCTAGGAGAACAGAGAGGTTTGTCCTGGAGAGGGTGAAGCCAGAATGCTCCTTGGAGTCAAGGATTCTGAAGCTTCATCTGACATACTTTGGGCCTGTTGTAAGGAGGCACTGGTCCTTTGAGAGGGACATCATGTTTGGGAGAGTGGAGGGACGGTGCAGGAGAGGAAAACCCTTGATAAGATGGATCGATTTTGTGAGTGGAGCGGTGGGAATGAGTGTGTTTGAGACGGTGAGGCCAGCACAGGATAGAACAACATTTAGAGCTCTTGTACATAGGGTCGCTATGAGTCACAAGCAACTCGATGGCACATAACAACAATGACAACATAAACTTCATTAGAGAAAAGCTTGGAAGAACTCTAGAAGCCCTAATCCACAATATAAACAGTCTTCCAAGCATCCTGAAAAACCTACAACCAGGAGAGGATAAAATAAGTGAATGGCACCTTCTAAGAATCAAATCCCTATGCAACATCCAAAACTTCTCCAACAGGGTAAAAAGGGAAGCCACAGACTGGGAAATAAATATTTGGTAATGACATGTCTGATAAGGGACTTTTATCTAGAATTTATAAAATACTCAAGCACCACAACAAGATAATGGTAAACAATCCAGTCACAAAATGGGCACAGGATATGAACAGACACTTCACCGAAGAAGACATTCAGATGGCAAACAAACACATGAAGAAATTTCCAAAATCCCTAGCTCTAAGAGAGATGAAAATCCAAACAAGTATGAGATATTATCTTATCCCAGTGACAATAGTGAAAATTTAATAGAACAGCAAACAACAAATGCTAGCGAGGTTGTGGAGAAACTGGAACCCTTATTCACTGTTTGTGGGAGT